GTACAGCTAGTGATATTTTAAAATATGTGATATTTGCTGATGACACAAACTTATTTTGCTCTGGAGATAACATAAAGGAATTACTGAAAACAGTGGAAATAGAACTGATGAAGTTAAATAGATGGTTTGTATTTAATAAACTATCACTGAATGAAAGTAAAACAAAATTTATGTTGTTTGGAGGTCTTAAGAGTAACATTGAAGTAGAATTGAATTTAAATAATGTTGAAATTGAAAGAGTATAGTAAATTTTTGGAGTAATAATTGGTGATAAACTTTGTTGGAAGTCTCACATAGATCATGTAAAACAGAAATGATCTAAGTCTATTTCAAAACAAGAGATTTATTGCACAAGAGCTGCCTTTATTTACTGTACACTTCCCTTTGTTTGCCTTAGATGAGTTATTGTGTGGAAATTTGGGGGAAAACATAGAAAACATATTTCGATTACATTAGAATAATAAATAAAGCTGGACATAGGGAGTCCACGAACCAGTTTTTTGTAGGATCATCTGTTAAAATTTAAGGACATCATATACGTATCTTAAAACTTTAGAGCGGTGAAAAAGAATGTTCCAAATTTGTATTTTAAGTATGTTTAAATTAAGAGATGGAAAATATGATTTGAGGGGGTCTGTCATGTTCTGCGTCCTGCGTCCCCCTCATGTGTTCTCCAGCCCTCTCCAGGTTCCCCTGATGTGTCTCCTTGTGTTCTCCAACCCCTCCAGGTGTCCCTCTAGGATCCCCCTCATGTGTGCCCAAGCTTCCTGTGCCCCTTCTTGTCTCCAGCTCCCACCAGGATTCCCAGGTTCGCTTATTCTTTAGTTTTCTTTGTATTTATATATTCTAGCTAGATTTTCCTCATAGTTTTCATAGGTTCAGGTTTTCTTTTAGGTTCCTTCCTTGTTCCTTCCCCAACGGTTTATTAGTTCTCCCTTTCTCCTCAGCTTAGAATCCTCTCCCTAATTAGTAAATTGATTTCACCAGGTTTCCTCGGTTTCTCTCTCCCCACACACCTGCAGCTCATCTCCCAATCATCCTGCCCTTGTGTATAAAACCCTGTCTGCGTCTCAATGTGTTGTCGGTCCATTGTTTATGTCAGCGTTGTCCCGTTTCCCCTCTCTTCGTTTGTTGGTGTCTAGGTTTGCGCATTAGGATTTTTGGATTTTGATTTTTGGCTTCCTGCCCTTTTGGATATTACTTTGGACAATTATTCCTAATAAAGGATTTTAAGTTTTTCTACTACTCCTGTCTTTGTGTCATCCTGGATCTGCATCTTGGGTCCTAACCTCCCCCTGGCTTACATCGTGACAGGGTCTCATATGTATGAAATACATAAAGTGAGAACTAATGCTAAGTATAGATGTGTTTCAATTTTGGGAGTGAAGTTATGGAATGGACTTAATGATGAATTGAAGATGTGTTTTTCTTTGTCATTTTTCAAGAAAATTTTAAAAATTAGTATTTTTCAAAGTTATAGAAATGTCTAACCTTGACATTTGATGTCTGTCTGTTTGATGTCTAACCTTGTGCTGATTTGATTTCTTGATTTATCATTAATTTTTTTAAATGTTATGCATCTTACCTATCTGTCCTATATTTTTTTTATTGATTAAGGATGTGATTACTTCTTTGGGAGTAAAGGATAGGCTAATATAAGCCATTAGGCTTCAACCTATTCCTTTTTTCGGCTACTCTTTGAGTACTTTTATGTAAAATTGATAATTTGTTGTTGTTGACCGAATATCTATCTATCTATCTATCTATCTATCTATCTATCTATCTATCTATCTATCTAGTGGTAGTAATAATAATAATTATTCATCCATCCATTTTCATCCGCTTATCTGGAGTCGGGTCGCGGGGGCAGTAAGGCGAGAGGCCCAGACTTCCCTCTCCCCAGCCACTTGGGCCAGCTCCTCCGGGGGAATCCCAAGGCGTTCCCTGGCCAGGTGAGAGACATAGTCCCTCCAACGTGTCCTGGGTCTACCTTTAGGTCTCCTCCCAGTTGGACGTGCCCGGAAAACCTCACCAGGGAGGCGTCCAGGAGGCAACCTGACCAGATGCCCGAGCCACCTCAACTGGCTCCTCTCGATGTGGAGGAGCAGCGGGTCTACTCCGAGCCCCTCCCGAATGACCGAGCTTCTCACCCTGTCTGTAAGGGAGAGCCCAGCCACTCTTCGGAGAAAACTAATTTGGGCCGCTTGTATCCGCGATCTCGTTCTTTCGGTCACTACCCAAAGCTCATGACCACAGGTAAGGGTAGGAACGTAGATCGACTGGTAAATTCTAGAGCTTCGCCTTCTGACTCAGCTCTCTCTTCACCATGACAGACCGGTACAACGCCCGCATCACTGCAGATGCAGCACCAATCCGCCTATCGATCTCACGCTCCAGTTTTCCCTCACTCGTGAACAAGACCCCGAGATATTTAAACTCCTCCACTTGGGGCAGGACCTCATCCCTGAACCGGAGAAGGCATTCTACCCTTTTCCGAATCAAGACCATGATCTCAGATTTAGAGGAGCTGATTCTCATCCCAGCTGCTTCACACTCGGCTGCGAACCGCAGTTAGTAGTAGTAGTAATAATTATAATTATTATTAGTAGTAGTAGTAGTATTAATAATAATAATAATAATAATAATGACAATAACAATAGTAATAAAAATGACGATAATAATTTTACTTATTATTATTATTATTATTATTATTATTATTATAGTTGTTGATGTTGATGTCGATGTGCCAAAATCGGTCCGTGCTTCTAAGGCAGTTTCAGGTTTGATATGGAGAGCTAGCTTGGCAAGCCAGACTAAATAAATATATTATTTATTTTGCAAAGCAAGAATTTGGTCTAGTTCATTATAAGCTAATGGAGAGCATCTTTCTGATGAACACTTCCAAGAGTTTTAGATTTCTTGAACTGTTGTATTTGCAGGAATCTGTTTCGTTCTCTTATCAAATCCCTATTGTCATCTTCGTCCCCCACATTCTTGTAACTTCTACAGCATATCAAGCTCCTTGACTGTGACATATTTTCAGATGGGATGCTCATGTCAGTCATGATGTAGTCCTCTTTTATTTGTCCTTAATGATATTTGGCCTTTCGGCCATGATTTCCCTGTCTGTGTCAATTGGCATGTCCCATAAAACTGACGATATTGTAAATCACTGTTGGTGGTTACCACTCGACTGCAGCTGATAGATGAAAATGCTTGCAGATCGGCCCGTTGTAGTGCATAAGGATGTACTCTCATCTGGCTATTGGGACAGCCCGGCAGAATGAGGTCAATGGTTTCTTCATACTGGTTGCACATTCTGCAGGTTGGGTATGTTCCATCTTTCATGATCTTGTATATGAGCTCATGCAGCTCTGGTCTAGTGTAGCCATCAACCTTCAGTTTCTGTCTTCAGTTCTGCACTACAGCCACTGATGGGTTTGATCTTCTACATCTGCACTTTTTACTCTTAAAGAATATTTTCCATGCATCAGTTTTTCCTCCCAAGTTTCTCTCATCCTTTTCTGGGCCTATTTCTTCGCTTCATTTAGGTTCTCTTAAAAAAGCTTGTTACTGTTTCTTGCGTTTTTCTTGCCACTTCTGGGATGTTCAGCACCTGTGCATATCTTGTAGCTTCTTCTGTGACAGAGTACAACTTCTAGCTAGCTTCATGTTGTCGGACGAGGATCAGTAGGGCATCTTCTGTTATTTCCACAAAGGTTTTCAGTCCCACTGTTGTTGTTTTGTTCTCAAGATGGGTGAGTCCATGCCTCCAATCTTTCTTAGTAGGTGCATTATTTCAACATCATTTCAGAGATCAGCAGCTTTCTGGTCTTCGTGTTGCTTCTCTTCTTCGAGTTGCCAGTTGATGATTTTAAAACAACTAAGGTGTCTTGTTTGCAGCATCAAGTCCACTCTTTGACAAGCCTGACTTTTCTATAGTACTCTTGTTTCTTTCAGGGGAGCATGTTGTATTCCATCTCCCACATTGACAACAATATTTGTATGTCCATGCTTTCGTTCTTTTTTAAACACAGAAACAGTTTTGTTTACCTGTTTGTAGCTACAGTTTCGCCGACGGCTGCCGGCTTCTTCAGGCTGACGCTGATGGTGGCGCGTCACTTCCTTCTCCGTTTATCTGCGGGCAGCAGAGGACGTTGTCGCCCTCTACTGCCCGCTCTCCCCTCTTCGACGATGCAGTCCCATGCGTGGTCCAGCGTGTAAACTCCGTCGTCCCTGTTCATGGTCCCACATCCACGTCTCCTTATCTCTATTGCTTCCTTGATCCATCTTTTGTATTTTTGTTGTTCAGTGGTTATGATCCGTGTGTTGTCCCAGTCCATTATATGGTTTTCTCTTAAGCAATGATCTGTTACGGCTGACTTTTTTATTGTACTTTCTGCTTCTTCTTTTGCTGCTCTTGTGTGTTTACGATTTGCCTCTTTCTCGCACTCCTTTCTGTGTTCTATTGTCCGTGTGTTGAGTTGGCGTCCGGTTTCTCCTATGTATGTTTTATTGCATATTTTGCAAACTGGACAAAACTGGACAAAAATGTGGAGTCATCTACGAAATCCCATGCAAAATATGCAATAAAACATACATAGGAGAAACCGGACGCCAACTCAATACACGGACAATAGAACACAGAAAGGAGTGCGAGAAAGAGGCAAATCGTAAACACACAAGAGCAGCAAAAGAAGAAGCAGAAAGTACAATAAAAAAGTCAGCCGTAACAGATCATTGCTTAAGAGAAAACCATATAATGGACTGGGACAACACACGGATCATAACCACTGAACAACAAAAATACAAAAGATGGATCAAGGAAGCAATAGAGATAAGGAGACGTGGATGTGGGACCATGAACAGGGACGACGGAGTTTACACGCTGGACCACGCATGGGACTGCAGCGTCGGAGAGGGGAGAGCGGGCAGTAGAGGGCGACAACGTCCTCTGCTGCCCGCAGATAAACGGAGAAGGAAGTGACGCGCCACCATCAGCGTCAGCCTGAAGAAGCCGGTGTTGTGCCATAAATCGACTCACTGCCAAAAAATGATTAGCTTAGTTTTTTCCAGTTCGGAAGTTGTTTTAAGTGTTGCTATTTCTCTTAAACGTTCACAATGAGGATATATTAATCTTTTTTGCAATATTTGCGATTGAAAGATGGTTTGTGGTAAGAACTGGCTTTCTTTATGTTACAGCCTTGATACTAAAAAATAAATAAACAATGTAAAATGGCGCCCTGTATTGAATGTAAACGTTGTATAAATGTAAATTAACAATTATCCAGTGATTTGATTTTTTCCCCCTTCCTTTCTTTAGTGGCTAATCATTTTTTGGCAGCGAGTCGATTTATGGCACAACACCGGCAGCTGTCGGCGAAACCGTAGCTACAAACAGGTAAACAAAACTGTTTCTGTGTTTAAAAAAGAACGAAAGCATGGATTTACAAAGACACAGCAAGAACACACCTAAGATGTTCAATATTTGTATGTATCCTCTTGATTGAGCTCCATCATGAAATCTCTTATTGGTCCAGTTGTATGTATGAAATTGATGTCAGTTTTTCCTTTTTGAATGTTACCTTTGCACATTTGTCAAATCCAAATTGCACGTGGATGTCATATTTGAAGAGTTTGACTATTTGCAGTAGCCCCAACTGTTGGTTTCATTGTTTATTTTTTTGGTGAAACTGGCTTTCCCTTTCTGATTAAACGCGATCCTAGAGGATTAAGTTAATTTGAGCATAAACTAAATGAAATTAACTGACTTAAACTGGATGGATGTAACACAGTAACACTTATTACTACTGTATTTACTCACATAGAATTGAATAAACAATAATATTGGACATGTTGGTGGTTCGAGAATGGCGATGGGTAGATCTGTCAGCATTTAAATGGATTGTATCGCCATCTTGCGGTTTACATTTGAATTACATCAGAATAGCTTTTGTGAGCCACAAACGAATTTGCGACACAAAACCTCCTAAAACAAACTATCCTGATGAGTTTGTAAGTGTAATCGGTCATAACTGTGTTTAGTCTGTTTATGTTTGTGGTAAAATTAACGTTTGTTAGAGTTTTAATGCAATGTTTGTTTCAAAAGGAATAGCGGAACCAATATCGCAGCTTTGCGTTTGAAGGACACTTTTCAGTGTAGGACGTTGTACTAAGCCACAGCTGAGAGTAAAAAGCCGTTTGGAATTTGGATTAGAATGAAAACGTGTTTCTACATTGATACATAAAAAGTAACACGATAATATTTTGTTTCTTTTTTTTCTCGTAAAGTCAGGAGTTGATATTTTACTACGTGCTAAAGACTGAGCAGGTAGAAACGAAAAGTCTCCATCTTGGTTTGTTATTTAGTGAAATTATTGCTGTACCAGTTGTAAGTTAGTGTTTCTTTAGGTCTTCTGTTTGAACTTTTTAACAAAGGTAAACAAAAATGAAACCTAATACTACTATACTGGTATGAATATATGTAACAAAGACTATTTAACTGATAACGTTATTTTTATTAGACGATACTGCAAAACTAATATAAAATTTCTATTGTATATGTTGCATCTAATGAGCTGAACTTTCTCTTAATCCTTTAAACTCATATTTAGCTGTATTTTTTTAGGCTTCTCTGGGAGCTTTTGTGTTTCTCGGGCTTTCAGCTACTTATGCATTCACTTTAGTCTAGTGTCTGGCCTACATTTAGCCACGAGAAGACTCATTTAACCCAAGATAAGACCCAGTGTTATGTTTACTTGAAAAACAAGACAATTTGTTTCTGTTTTAACATGTTTTTATAAGACATGCCTTTCAGATACAGCTCTAAAAATGATTTTGTTTAACCTAATACTTTTGTTTTTTCTTCAGTTTTCCACTGTTTAACCCAAGCTACACAATAGACTGCCATGATCATGGTAAATGGCCAGTATTTGTATATCATGTACAAATACTGGACAGGCAATACATTTCAAGGAAAACTTTGAAAGACTGCCAGAAAGCCTGAAAAAGATAACTCTAAATGATTACATAAAAGGTCAGCATGGAAGCAAAAGGAAAATATATTAGACGAGGTGGAAAACCTTTCCATTTCTTTATTTCAGGTTTTTATATAATGGAGGATGAAGATGATTGTCCAGAGCTGGTGCCCATCAGTGCCCAGCCTGGTCCCCCTGCTCAGCAGATACCGGTCACCATTATTACTGGCTACCTTGGTGAGATCTGTTCTACTCAGTTTATTTATACATTACCAGATCACAATATGTGATGTATTAAATTAAGTGATTATATAAAATAATAATGAAATGTGTACAGGTGCTGGGAAAACTACACTCCTTAACTTTATCTTAACAGAACAACACAACAAACGGATCGCTGTCATCCTCAATGAATTTGGAGAAGGTACATATAAGAAGTGTTGGATTTTAACAGTGATTCTTTCTGTTTTGGGTGATGTATTCAGTGATAAACATCAAAGTATTACCTAAGATTATCATGAGAGGGCAGTATCGTAACAAAGTTTAAGCTGATAAGAAATAAGCACGCTTCCTGTGCTGACACGACTACTAATGTATCAGTTCTGAGTCTGGATTGGGTCTTCTATTTTGCATTCATTTTTTGCTAGAATTATTGTAAATTTGATAAAATTTTCTTATTTTCTTATTATTTTCCTGCAGGCAGTGCTCTTGAGAAGTCTCTTGCTGTGAGTCAGGCAGGAGAGTTGTATGAGGAGTGGCTGGAGCTGAGAAATGGCTGCCTCTGCTGCTCAGTGAAGTATGTGCAACAGTCAGCACCGTGCATTTTAATCAGATATTTATATTTAGAAAAGTAATTTTCAATGTTTTTTTTGCTGTTTGCATGCACACATTTTGATTTAATGTTTTATTCCTGCATTTTTGCAGAGATAATGGCCTGAAAGCTATTGAAAATCTAATGGAGAAGAAAGGAAAGTTTGACTACATCCTTTTAGAAACCACCGGACTTGCTGATCCAGGTGAGAAAAGGGAAAACTTGGTTTCGATTTTGGTCTCTTACTTAAATTCAGTTGTTTTGTAGGGGCTCATTCAAACCCACAAACATGGCGGTGCTCACTTAGTCCTCTCTTGCTTGTTTATCATCCAACAACATTGGAAAATGATTTTATTCAGAATGATTGAATAAATAAATTTTTATTGGCAAATTTGAGATTTATATTTTGTGTATACAAACATGAAATGAAAATCAAATTTAGACAAGATTTTAGAATTTATTTAAAAAAATAATAATAGCCATAAAATTATGTGTACATCATGGCTGAGTTAGTTAAGGCCTGTACAGCTACACGTTAATGGCGAAAATTTAATCATCTAAAAAATTTCCTAACATAGGATCAACAACCTTGTAAAACTGTGATCCCAAACACAGATTTAAATTTTGTTTTGTGCATCGAAACAGTCAAAGTGCAAACTGGCTGAAATGTTGTGGTGAGATTTTACGAGTTAAACAAAATTACCACACAAAAATGTGAGATTGGTCAAATTGGATGGAAGAAGACAGATTGTCACACTTTGTTTCTGCTGTTTGACACAGTTTTTAATCAAGTTATTGATGAACCATTGTAATATTTTAACATTAACCAACTTCAAAGTGCACCTACTAGTTTATAAATCACTCAATGGCATGGGGCCAAAATAAATGTCAGATCTCATCCCAGTATATACACCCAATAGGGCTCTGAGATCCTTGGGAAACAATCAGCTGGGAGAACCACGGGTCAGAACAAAACATGGTGGAGATTAGGGCTGGGCGAAATGGCCTCAAATCTATATTGCGATATAATCTGAAGCATGTGCGGTAACGATATAAATTGCGATATAGTTTCTCCTCTGTTTATACACGTCAAAATGACATGCTTTTAAATATCCTCATGTGGCAAATATATGCCACTTGAGGCATATAGGCCTCCTCCTCCGCCCACTCCATGCTTGCAGTCGCTGCCATTCTGTTGTCCCAATGCCAGCAGGGTGCACGTCTGAAGCTGTTTTTATAGGACCAGAGCGTTTGTAAAACGGGATTTGCCGCGGCACACTGGGGAGGGTTTTGTCATTTATAGTAGCCAAGCTGAAGCTAGAATAAACTGCCATCAGACACCTCTCCAACCACATCCCCGTCACATCCCCCCTACCCCGCATGTGACGTACAGGGTCGCGCATTCAGCGTCAGACGGATGAAATTTCTTTTTCAGGACCTTTAGCTTTGATGTGACCTGCTTTTTGTCCCGCTTGACGCCCCGCTCAGCCAGTGTTTTCACCACTCTGTCGAACAGCTGGCTCTCACCGTCCCCGTAAAAAGGCGACTAATCTGTTTGTCCGCTCGCACGGCCAAAAGCTCCATGGTCTACGCGTCCGTCCAGCCGGCTTTCCTTCTGGCCGGCACCCGGCGCACAGTACACGTGACTGACGCGACCACCCTCTTTTGCGGCACGGCAGAGGTCCAGTCCCTTTGGAGCGACTGTGGGCCTCCCACACGCGTTTAGCCGTCAGAGGCGAGGGGCTCATGTGGCAATATTACTACCAAGCGAGGCGGAACGAATGCTGCAATATCGCGCCAACGTTTATAGACATACCATTGCGGTAATATTACGCCAATATGCCGGCATGGTGTGTCCTATAAAAGCTTCTTTAGTGACGTCATGTGTTATCGCGATATTGTGGTATTGCGATATAGCCAAAAACTATCATTACCCAATTTTATATCGTTTCTACCTTATATCGTTTATATTGCCCACCCCTAGTGCAGATGCTTCTCGCTATTATGCTGCTCACATATGGAATCAGCTCCCCCTGGACCTCAGATCCGCCCCAACTAGGGATGGGTACCTTTGAGATTTATATCGATCTTGTACTAATTCCCGGTACCTAGGAATCGATACCGGTACTTAACGGTACCAATTTTCGATACTTTTGAGTGTTTAATATTTTAATTCTCTTTTATAATTAAATATATATATTTCTCAATATATAACCATATTTGAAAAATATCACGATAAATAACATACAACTGTTTGTATTTTAACATCGTCCTTGTAGTTTTATAAGCTGATAATTAAACTGAAGCAAACATCTTTACTGTGAACTAAATTTACTGTGTATCTTCATTCCTTTTGCCGTCCTGTTTCATTTGACTTTTCCTACTGGGAAGTTAGAATTTCCAAGGAGAAAGCGAACGCACCATTAGATGATAACAATGGTGGCAATGGAAGCTAACATACCAAGCTAACGTTATCTTAAGCAGTTTATTTAGCTGCTGGAGCAGATTTAAACGATGATGCCTCACACTTAGATCGTTGTCTCAGGTTTCATCTTCACCCAATCACCCGTCGCATTTAGTAAAGTGAAGCCAAACTTTAGAGCGCGTTCATGTCCTTCTAGTCGGAAATTCGGAGTTCCGAGGAGAAAGCCAACACACCATTAGTGAAACGGAAGCTAACAAATCAAGCTAACGTTATCTTAAACATTTTATTTACCTACCGGAGCAGATTAAGATGAGGATGTCTCACTTAGATCGTTGTTGCTGGTTTCATCATCACCCAGTTACCCATCACATTTAGTGAAGTGGACCCAAGCTTTAGCGTGCGTTCTTTCTACCATGCTGCTCTGTTTACAACTCGCTCGCAGCGACCGACGGCGTAACACTCTTGCGCATGCGCAGCTGTCTAGACAAGTTCTCGTTATGAAGGACGGGTACCAAAACGAGGCACCGTTTCAAATGACGTGAATCGGTGCTCATTCGTTACTATGGAATTCGGTCGGTACCTTAAAAAGTACCGAATTCGGTACCCATCCCTAGCCCCAACTCTAGTGTTGTTTAAATTAAAACCCTAATGTACTCATCAGCCATTGAATGAATTGTATCTCATGCTGCATTGACTCCACCGTAATCTGTGATGTAATTGCTCAACCTTAATTCTGTCTTTTTCTTTTAGCTCTAAATTATAATTTTATTTGTGTTCTCATGTTTGTTGTTGTTGTTGTTGTTGTGCTGTTTCATGCTAATGGTAAAGCACATTGAAATGCCCCTGTGTTTGAAATGTGCTCTATAAATAAAGCTGCCATGCGTTCAGCAGTAGTTTCCTGCTGTTGTCTGTTTGCAAATAGTTGAATTCCTCCCCGTCGTTTAGTAAAATTCATATCAGAAGTTTGACATTTTGTCTCAAACAGATGATCAGACTTGTGCCGCTTTGGCAGGAACATCAAGAGTAGGCGCGAAAGATAGAACTGTCCATTTATCTCCTGGGGTAAATCCGAAAACATCAGGGTACCGGTATCAGAGAGGGACGGGTGTGTTGCTAATTGACAGGTGTAGGGAGGAAACACACAGACACACACTCGCACAGTGATCATCCTCTCAGTCAAAACAAACCAGGGGGAGGGGGACTCTCTTTCTCACGTCATTGGCTCGTTATTTACTGGGACAGGCTTGTCATTGGCTCCGGCAGCGCTGTCACTCACCAAGGCTCCCGGGAGGATTCTCTTCTTTTCCGTTCAGGAAAAGGTCGGATGTCTCGTTTGAAATGTGCCACTCAAAGACCGCGTTTTCATTACGCACCCATCAAATATTTACCATTCTTTTAGATTCTCACTTGACAGTTTGACAAAAAAGTGGATTGCGTGTACAAGCTCCGGGTGTCATGGCGACAGGGAACCATTTTCAGAGCAAAATCAAAACAAGGCGCATGTGGACACAAACATTAACAAAACTTTGTCATTTCAGATCCTCTAACATCTTTTAACCTGCAGTTTCATCTCCGGATAATCCCGATGATCAGGGAGGCAGAAATGTGTGTTTTCTAAGCCAGCTGTGAAGGAAAACACTATTTAGCTATGTCCGTGTTTTTAAAAATGTTGTTTAAAGCAAGAGTTTAAAAAAGTTCACCCATTTGTTGGCTGAAGCTCACATACTGGAGTCAAATGGTCTCCTCCTCTCTCCAGGAGCCGTGGCCTCCATGTTCTGGGTTGACGCCGAGCTCGGCAGCGATGTCTATTTAGACGGTAGGAAATTTGATGTGAATTTTCAGTCCTAAAGTCTCCATTTTTGTATGCCACTGGAAAAATTTAACATCCTAACAAGCTAAAAAGAAAATTGCAGATAAATGGAATTTCTACTCAGACTTTCCTAATGTAATTACCTAAATTGACCCAAACAAATAGAAAAAAGAAACTTCATTTCAGAGCTAAAGAGAAACAAACGGTGTGATTTTTAATCCTGGTTTTGTTTTTCTTTCCGCTGTAGGCATCGTGACCGTCATCGATGCCAAGTACGGCCTACAAGTAAGATACCCTGCATTACTGAAACAATTTTTGGGACATTTTATCGTTTTTTTTACCCAAAAATCTCACAAAATAATGGTGCGATTTCCCTCAATGAGCCGAAACGTGTTTACTGTATTTACTTTTGCACAACAACAAAGTCTGTTGTTACTCTTTATGAATAAAAACAGCAAAACTTCTGAGATTTCTCGCTTCTATTCAGTGAATAAACACCCCCCCTGCTGTTTTTGTGGGGTTTAAACGGATCGGGACATGTGACACTCGGATAATGGGATCTAATTCCGATGTGTCATGCTCAGTGAAGTGACAACAGTGGCGCCTGAGCTGCTCCGTCTTCAGGGGGAATTCCTGGCGGATTCTGTAATTGATATCAGAAATGTGGTCATGGTAATGGGACTGTCGCCTTCTATCCCACTCTTACTTGTTCTCTCGCCGATTGAAGTAAAAAAATCTTGTTTTTTATTGTCATTCAAAGATGATGACAAAGTCAGATACCAGGATGCAAACAGAAAGTTACATTTTTATGCGTTAAGTCATTTAAATTATGACAAGAAACTTTTTATTGTTTTATTATCTAAGAGTTAAAGTGGTTGTTAACAACTACAGATTTTTACACTTAAACGTCCAAACACTTGGAATTTTTGAGAAACTTTGTGGTTTGCTGTGTGACTTATCCCCATTATCTGGTCTTTTAAGCAACTAAATGAAGACAAAGCCAACGGACTCGTCAATGAAGCAGCCAGGTATTTTATTTTTCAGGTGTTTCCCTATCAGATGCTGCTAGAACCATTTGTTTGTCCCCCCGTTTGTCCGCTCCAGCCGATGTTTCTGCTGAACAAATACTCTGATGGAGGGAGAAAAGACAAGTTGCATGACCTTTTGAGTTCTTTCTTGTTGTTGTTTGCCTTTTCACCTCTAAAACAAACAACCTCAGCTCCCATCTGATTTCGGCATTTACTGTTTTCTGACTCATTGCACACATAATTACATCTAAAGAGCGCAAGGTCGTGCTAAATTAGCTGTTTTTACATGTGAGCATCTCAAAAAAAATTTTCTTTAAAGTAGGAAAACAGTTTTTTTTTTCAGAGGGCTTCATCCAGAGGCAGTAAAACATATATTTCACCTTAAAGGTTAACTTTCAATAGGTCACTGAGTTTTTCCATGGAGACTGGACATGAAAATAGTCTCCTACACTTATCTCCTGCATTACCTTCTGACTCTAGGATTTGAAAACCCTGACAGATCTACGTCACACCATCACTGGAGTCCTAATCAGAGACGAGCTTAGCAAAAAAAAAAAAACCTTTATGTACTTCTCACATTATATCGTAGCACAGGGTAAGACTATCACTTTTATAGACTCTAAAAAAAATCCTACATAATTCCTGGAAGGCGGAAAACTCCAGATTGATGCTTTATTGTGAATTCTGGGTAGGAATGTAAGAAAACATTGACGCACTAAAATATTATGATATTTTGTGTTATGACACTAAATTGATATTTAAAAGCAGTGCGATCAATTATTTTTAGATTTTCCATGTAAATATTTACCAAATTTACCGTGTGGTGCAGTTCAAACTCTGACAGCTAGGTGGCAGCAGGTTTTACCGGCTTTATTCTGATGGTGTCGGTACAGGATCCATCATTACCTCTTTGAAAATACACTTTTAGCATAGAGCTGCATGTTTATTATGGCTGAATGATTAATTTCACGTGCAATTAAATTGCGATGTGACAAAAGGAGATTTTCTAATCGCAAAGGCTGCAATTTGGCAGCGAGTGGTTAGCGCAATGCTAATATACATGGAAAAAGCCATAGGAACGCTAATGCTAATATCACCGATTACATTCTTACAAATTATGAATTAGAAACGTGCCAAATGATTACATTTGGAGTCTAATAGAAAGTAAAACTACCATCAATCAAATAAGTACAGACAGGTATTTTAGTAAAGCCAGAAAACTTTTAACTCCAGAGTTTTGGCTAGCAGCTATGAGCGTAACTGAACTACGCATGGACAAGACGTCAAAAACTCTAAACACAAAATACTTCAATAAACGGGACACACTTCTTTCCTGCAAATACAATTTCACAGGTGTTGCTAATACCTAAGATCCTTCAAGGGATGTGCTCAAAGAGGAGTTCAACATTATGAATACAATATAGTGTTTTATTTTACAAATACCATTATAAACACAAACTGACGTCGTAAGAAACATTATTTTAATAACGAAACTGCTAAATTCTTTCCAACAGTACAGATGTGTACTGTATTTGTCACAGTGGGTTTGCCGTACTTTGACGTCATCGGCAGTCGAAGGACCCCGAGCCGATCTTGCACCCGAGCAGATCCTGTACCGACACCGGAACAACAGGGTCTGGCATTAACACTGCATGTTTCTTGGAAGTGTCTGGCCTGAGTTTCCAATTAAATTCTGTCTTGAAAGTTGCAAACATCTGTCTTCTTATCACAATACATCCTATCGGCTCCTCAGTGCTGTGATCGTATTTCTGATTAAATCTACTTGCCTTATTGAGCTAATCCTTTTTTTTTAAATCTTTTCAGACAAATTGCTCTTGCAGATCTCACTATAATCAACAAAACAGATCTTGTAAATAAGGAGGAACTGAATCAAGTTAGAGACACTGTAAGGTAAATATCATTACGTTTTCTCCACCTTGTCTTTTATATTCACTTTAGTTTGATCTATTTTTCTCTCATATCAGGTCTATAAACGGTCTTGTCAAGATTGTGGAAACCCAAAGAGCCAGGTGAGCGACTTTCCTCCAATCAAACAAAGAAAAAAATGAGGTTAAGTAGCTTTTCTAAACCCAGGTTTCGTGCGGGAACTTCACCTCAGATCTTCGTATCAAAGACGGAGCGGACGGGACGCTGCTGCACAGATGTGCACGTAGACAAACACAAATTACAGCTCTGAGCAAACATCAGGCTGACATCCGTGTCAGATTACTCACAAGTCTTTGCTTCCTGACCTCAGCATGTCAGGATGGCATTAGTATGTGTGTGGAGCTCGGCCTCACCCGCCAGCACCCGCGGAGTTCAGGGTGAACACATGAAAGAGCGTACGGCGAGGGGTTAATTGAATTCACATTGGCCAAACATTGAGTTTGAGGCAAAAGCCGGGACTTGTTAGTTTTAAATGAAACAAAAATAATAACGCTTCTCTTCGACAGGGTGGATCTCTCTGAAGTCCTTGATCTGCATTCTTTTGACAGTATGGATGGAGCAAAGTGAGTTTTCCTCTTTAGTCTGGCATAAATACCGTATTCATTTATCACATCAAGTGTATTTGTGGAATAAAATCAGCACATTTGAGTCATGTTCACTCAGCTGGCTTATAGCTCTTTATTAAACATTTAAATAATGTTTTACATTTACTTAGCAACAGTTAAGAAGGTTTTTGATGTGAAATCATTCTTTTTAAAAAGCGATTAAAAGTTAAGATTTTAAAATGTGAAAAATATCCTGATTTTTCTTCCGGATTTTTAAATTTATTTTATTTTTGTCCTTAATTTTTACATTATTTCATGTTTCTGTGATGAATGGAGTATAAGGATGTCCGCTTTATCCATTAGGGGAAAAAAACTACAAAGCCAACAGGGCAGCAGGAATCGATGATTCCTGGTTTTAAAAATGAAACTAGTTTTTTTATTATAATCAAAAGTTATTTTGAGAAATCTTAAAAAGAATTGAATATAACTACAGTAGTGTTATACACTACTTCCTAAACCATCATAGTCTTTATTAAAGTAAAGTTGTGCCAATTTTATTGCATTTCACTTTAAGTCCCCAAATTTGTAGCAGGAATATTACATCTGAAGAAATGGAACACACATCTTTGTTCATTTATCCTCCTTTGTCCTAAATCTAATCTAAATTGGGTGTTTTAACTGATAATCTGACTTCTAAAGCTTGTCATGGAAATAAAAGCCTTAATTAGAGCCAGTAGATGGCTTTTGTTACTGCTGCCTCTGAGCTCCACCACAGGACAGTCATCATATTGTCACACCGGCAGAATCTCATGAATACGGTCGCCGTTCCTCCCTTCATGTGAATGAACGGGTCGGCGCGTTGAAGCTTTTTTACGTGTCTTCTAACCAGCTGCAGAGGATTAGAGCCGCGTGTGTCTACTGGCTCCCCTCGTCCCGAACAGATTCAACCCCCCTTCCCTTTGGGTCTCACCCTCCCTGGGTCCCATGCAGGCTGTTTGAAGCGGCCCCCCGCTGCGCTGCCTGTGTGGCACTAACAGCACGCAGGTCTGGAGCAGCTGGACGCAACGTTTAGCCTCCTTGTGAGGTCAGAGAGAAGCAGGAGAACAAGGGCAACCGTTTGTTTGGGGGGGGGGGTCTCCTGTTTCTAAAGCATTCACGGGTCCATTTAGAGTCATCATTAAGCAGCGGCACAACTACAAGATGTAACACGCACCATAAAAAAGATTTCTTCTGTTCTGCTGATAGAAGTTCAAAAAGTGTTGATTGTGCAGTTCTGACCGATGATCTAAACAGGAAACTCGGCATAAAACGAGCTGCAAGTCCCAAATATGTAGAGAATTTGTGACGCGGTAAAACAGAATGAAGGGCTTTCTGGACTTTTAAATGGCAGCGTGAAGCAGAAGTGTCTTCCAGGAAGACTGGCAGACTCTAATTTAGGAAAAACAAAGAAAAGACTTTACGACTTTGTTTTTAGGCTAATTTTAAAAAGCTCTGAGACCTATTTAGAGCTACCATAACCAAGGCAATGGTCAGCAGGGGGGTTCTAATTAGCTTAAATATGTATCCATAAAAGCAAAAAGGCAGTTTCTTCAAATGCGTACTCGTCTGAACTCTTGTGTACGTCGTCAACGATGGCCTGAGTACTGTTCTAATCCCAAGTGCGTACAGTGGTGTGAAAAACTATTTGCCCCCTTCCTGATTTCTTATTCTTTTGCATGTTTGTCACACAAAATGTTTCTGATCACCAAACACATTTAAGCGTTAGTCAAAGATAACACAAGTAAACACAAAGTGCAGTTTTGAAATGATGGTTTTTATTATTTAGGGAGAGAACAAAATCCAAACCTACATTGCCCTGTGTGGAAAAAGTAATCGCCCCTCTTGTTAAAAAATAACCCAACTGGGGTGTTTCACACCTGAGTTCAATTTCTGTAGCCACCCCCAAGCCTGATTACTGCCACACCTGTTTCAATCAAGAAATCGCTTAAATATGAGCTGCTGACACAGAGAAGTAGACCAAAAGCACCTCAAAAGCTAGACATCATGCCAAAATCCAAAGAAATTCAAGAACAAATGAGAACAAAAGTAATTGAGATCTATCAGTCTGGGAAAGGTTATAAAGCCATTTCTAAAGCTTTGGGACTCCAGCGAACCACAGTGAGAGCCGTTATCCACAAATGGCAACAACATGGAACAGTGGTGAACCTTCCCAGGAGTGGGCGGCCGACCAAAATTACCCCAAGAGCGCAGAGACAACTCATCCGAGAGGTCACAAAAGACCCCAGGACAACTTCTAAAGAACTGCAGGCCTCACTTGCCTCAATTAAGGTCAGTGTTCACGACTCCACCATAAGGAAGAGACTGGGCAAAATGGCCTGCATGGCACATTTCCAAGACGCAAACCAAGTTGAACTTTTGGGAAGGCAAATGTCCCGTTACATCTGGAATAGAAGTAACACAGCATTTCAGACGAACAACATCATACCAACAGTAAAACATGGTGGTGGTAGTGTGATGGTCTGGGGTTGTGTTGCTGCTTCAGGAACTGGAAGGCTTGCTGTGATAAATGGAACCATGAATTCTACTGTCTACCAAAACATCCTGAAGGAGAACGTCCGGCCATCTGTTTGTCAACTAAAGCTGAAGCCATCTTGGGCGCTGCAGCAGGACAATGACCCAAAACACACCAGCAAATCCACCTCTGAATGGCTGAACAACAACAAAATGAAGACTTTGGAGCGGTCTAGTCAAAGTCCTGACCTGAATCCTATTGAGATGCTGTAAAAGACTCGTAGCAAGTTATCGCAAACGCTTGATTGCATTTATTGCTGCTAAGGGAGGCCCAAAAAGTTATTAGGTTCAGGGGGCGATTACTTTTTCCACACAGGGCAATGTAGGTTTGGATTTTGTTCTCTCCCTAAATAATAAAAACCATCATTTCAAAACTACATTTTGTGTTTACTTGTGTTATCTTTGACTAACGCTTAAATGTGTTTGGTGATCAGAAACATTTTGTGTGACAAACATGCAAAAGAATAAGAAATCAGGAAGGGGGCAAAGAGTTTTTCACACCACTGTACCATGGCAAATTTGCTCCAAGTTCCCGGATGAGTTCTTGCTCCGCCCGTTGTATCGAGGGTGCATCCTTCTGAAATGGGACAGAAAAGCTTCCCATTATGCGTTGCGTCGTAAACCGTTGTACTCTGAACGGCAGAGTAACTGTAGTGTTTAATATCAGAAATACAAATAAAGAAATATAAAATTGTCTGTTGCTGCAAATAGTTGTGTGTAACCTGTAAAATTAGCTGTGTGTGTGTTTGGTTTATCTTTTTTCAGACTCTTCACGATCCCCCAAAATGCTAATTAGCTAACCCACTATCAAAATAAAAGCAGCTTAGCTCTGTTTGGATGAAAATTTAACTTTTTTCTTTATTTAGCTGGAAGTGTCGTATTTTATCAACAATGATCAAAGATGGACTAAATATTATGTAAATTATATGTATTCATTGTTATTTTGTATGGGTCAGACTAGGGATGCAACGATACCACTTTTTTCCAAAGCGATACGATACCGATACTTGGATCTGAGTACTCGCCGATTACCGATGCCGATACTTCTACCACACAAAAAAATGCAATGATTTGGAATACAGATTTTAATTTCTTCTCTGCTTTCAACAGGAAAAGACTGTGAGGTAGATAAAAAGTTAAATATATGAATGGAAATCATCACAAAACTAAAATATTAGGTGAACAGAAATGAAAAGTTACAGTGAAGCCATTTTCAAGCAACTGCATTGGTATTGGTTCCTGGTATCGGTTAACTTTTACCGATACCGGTATTGGTATCAGTATCGGTACCGATACCAGTATCGTATCGGTGCATCCCTAGGTCAGACTAGACTTTTATTTTTATGTCAGGTATTTTTAACTAGCAACAAGCAGCGATTGTTGCCATGACGCAATGGAGTATGGTTCTGTTGCGAATGGAGTCTTCGTCCTCCCGTACTCGGCGGGTAGAACTGACTTTATGGTGTACTAGCTAAGAACATACTTGTCAAGGACACAAGGAAGTACTAGTGGCCTTGGGTATTGAGAAACGGCCGGTGTTTTGAATAAAGATTGTGACATTAGTCGCGTGGAGCATCAGTGAGCCTCTCGGGGAAACGGGAATAAAGCAAACTGACATTTCAGGAACTGTTTCGTGATATTTGATGGATTGTCTCATGAGCTTCTGTCTCCACTGATCCACGTCAGAAAAATACGTTTCCCAGTTTTTTCAGCTGACTGGTTGGTCAAAGTAAATTTGGGGTTTAAATGTTATTTTTTTCCATGTGTTTTAATTATTTTTTAATACATGTTATAAATGTAATTTGCACCATTGTTCTTTGAAAAAAAAATCTTTTTTTTTTAAATATGAATGATAAAAAGCTCCTTGTTTCACCTCAAAGGCTCGCCGAGAAGCTAGAGCTGGCTAAACCCATGAGACCGCATCTGGACAAGGTTTGTGAGCATCTCCGAGGGCTTCTGTTGTTCTGTTTGCTAATTTATTTCAACACATCGTTTCCTGCAGGATAAAGGGAGGAATACCTTCTTCTCGGGGCTAAACCTCGGCCCCCTCGGGCTGCCACACTGTTATTGAAAACTCCCATCCTGCTTTGTCTTTTGGGGTTTGTGTTCAAATCCACTTTGACTTTTTGATGTTTCTTCTTAAATCACAAATGGATCCATTCTGGCTTGTGCAGGATTTAGGCCTTTCAGCTTGTTTAAATGGAGTTCACTCAGATGGTCCCATGCAGCAGCCGTGCAGGCTCTTTAAACCCGTGAACTTTTACCACAGGATGAGGGCAGATGGGGGTTATTTGTGTGGGTAAATAACACCATTGTTGTCTGTTTTCTCCAAGCCTCTTTCCCGCATACATCTCTCCTGTCCCTCAGACACCCCCCCCCTCCCTATCTTCATCACGTCCCTCTTTTCATGTTAATGGGAATGCTGTTATTCTGTTGTTATACCAGATGACAAGGAAGTGTGTAACCTTAGCACTTCAACACAAACACCCCCTAAATATCTGCAAATTGACCCTGTTTTTTATGCTGCAAGGAAGTAACGCGGAGGAAGTGTGAGAAAAGACTCGGGGCAGTTTTAGAAATTCGGGATTTGTATTTTATGGGAGAAAATGTCTGTTTATCTCATATTTAGTGAAGTTTTTTCACTTTTAATCTGCTATAAGGCCAGAAAAGCAAATTATAGTTGAACTTGTTTGGTTGTTTTGCCCTCAGAGTATTTTAACGGTGACATTTGAGGTGGCTGGAGAGCTCTCAGAGGACGCCCTGAATGCTTTCATCCAGGTAAAAATGCACTCAGATCCCTGCTGCTACCACCGGTTCAGTGAAAAACTAAACACCAAAATTCCCATTTCAGGATCTTCTCTGGGAAAAGAAGTTCTGCAACAAAGATGGCGAACCCATGACTGTCATCCGGTTAAAGGTACGGCAGAGCACGGTGTTTCCTCTGATGATTAACAAAGCTTTTGAAGCTTGATTCTGCGGTTGTGGGTGAATGATTTGCTCGTGCCGTGCCTGTTTCCAGGGCGTCGTGTCGTTTGTAGGTAAAGCCCACCAGGTGATGGTGCAGGGGGTCCACGAGCTCTACGAGTTTAATGAGACTCCTCAGCTCTGGGAGGAAAACCTGCACGTCAACAGACTTGTTTTTATAGGTACACACACACACCCACAAACTTATAGATGATTATTAAAGCGTCAAAAAATTATACCGAAGTCCCCGACTTTCCAGTCAATTTCAGTAAATAACTATATTTTCTCAGTCTTTTCCAAATATCTGACATTAACTTCCTGGTTTTAATTGAGCATCATGAATATAATTTTGTGCAACACAAACTTGAGTTAAGCTGGGCTGTAAAAATGAAGAATAAAGGCTTTTGTCTTCATTTTGGTTTCACAGGCAGGAATCTGGACAAGGACGTCCTGCAGGATCATTTTGTTTCTACCGTGGTGCTGAAAGCAGAAACTCCATAGATAACAATATATGCTTGTATATTTTTGTCTGCATGACAGGGAGACGCATTAGAAAATGACTTGAGCTGTGATGGTTTTACACAACTTGCCTTTAAAAACTACAGTTTAGAAGAGTTTTGTCTGCAGAAATATCTTACATGAACTGCTAAGACTCGGGTTGTGATAAAATATTTTAATGTGTCTCGTTTTCATCCTGCAGTTTTAAGTTATTCAAAATAAAAATGAACTCTGAATGTGGGTTTCTGTCATGTTTTGGTAAAAATGAATGAAATGGCTTTAATAGGAGGCCTGACTAGGTCGTTAACATCACAGAGAACAAGTATCTGTCATGCTTTTATATTCGCTGCATAAAAAAGCCAAGATTACAGTTTTGTCTGCGATGATTGTTGATATCGGTGTAAATCAGAAATCTAAATGTTATTTTTAATGCTTCTGTTGATTTTTAATTTCACAAATATTTGGGTTTAGGTCATTGTGCATTTTTAACTCTGGCCTTTTTTGTTGTTTTACAAAGTTGGTCCCACACCATTTTTTTCTTCATTTTTATTAATTTTGCTTTGTCCCTTAAACATTTTGTATTTTTATCTGGTTATAAATGAGCTTTTTTATAAAACTAATTTCAAATGGCTAGAGAAAATTTTAAAATGCTAAACAGACAAAAACGGGTTTTATGATGTTAATTTGTCACCTGCACTGATTAAGTTTTGCACAAAACACCTTAAAAGTCACAACTTTTCTAATTTCCCTAAAACTGTAGATAATGTCATTAAAGAACTATCTCTTGCTCACATAAATGTCCCTAAGTTGAGGGGAATAAATGCAGATTTGCTTGTTTGATTGTATACTATGGAAACATTTGAGGCGGATAACTAAGTCATGCTTAATAAGTTGCTGCTGTCTTATCTTTACTTTATGGATCCAACTCAATTTTAAATTAAATCCCCCAAAATGCAGAAACATTCCATCAGCTGAATTCCACACAACTGCCATCAGATGGTATTCTGAGCTTTTGGAGGCCTTGCGCACGAGGCATGCATAGCCCCACCCCACCTATCTCAGGCACCCCGCAGTTAGGAGCTCTGATAGGTCCGAAGGACTAATGGGACTGGCCTGCGAGGCGGCAACCGCTCTGATATAAAACATCTGCTGTCATGTTAGAAAACAACTAAATCTGCAAACAACCAGACAGTATTCGCGCTTTTACGCACGAGAAATCGTCGCGCCCGCTTTGGCACAGTTGGCTTTTTACGCGTTTTGTGCGCTCTGTGGTGGTCATGACCAAGGATTTTCAACCTGGATTGACTCTAGAGGAGGAGATTGACGTCCTTGGTGAAGAAGAGTCTAACCACCCTCGGATGTATGGCTGCGCTGTGGATCCGGGATCCTCAACAGAATCCGAGGTCGACTCCTCGGGGGAGAGTGAGAACAGTTTCTGCGCACGCGCCCCAACCTCCAGAGCGTCTCAGAGCAGTTCTGTGAAGCCTCCTTACTCCTACATTGCCCTCATCACCATGGCCATCCTGCAGAGTTCGCAGAAGAGGCTGACGCTGAGCGGAATCTGTGACTTCATCAGCAACAAGTTCCCCTACTACAGAGACAAGTTCCCCGCCTGGCAGAACTCGATCAGACACAACCTCTCACTCAACGACTGCTTCATCAAAATCCCACGAGAGCCGGGTAATCCAGGAAAAGGGAACTATTGGTCTCTAGATCCCGCCTCGGAGGATATGTTCGACAACGGCAGCTTTCTTCGCCGGAGGAAGCGCTTCAAGAGGAACCAACCCGAGTATGGCAAAGGAGTAGTGTTTTACTCCAGCTTGAGCTGCTACCGGCCGTTCGGACAGCCGTATGGCGCACAGGGCATGTTAACCTCCACGCCCTCTGCTCCTATTCGGTACTTTCCGCTGCAGGATGGCATCATGATGCCCCCTTCTTACCACATTGTGCCGCACGCGCTGGACACTCAAAATAAGCGCGCTGGGCCTGGAGACTCCAGAGCGCAGCCGTGCGCAAAAGTCCAAAAACCTGGCACGCAGACAAAGTGCTCCTTCAGCATTGACAGCATCATGAGCAGACCTTCTCCTGTCAATCACCCGAACCCAAGTTCACCGCTCAGCCCTTACTGCAGTCGTGGATTTAGCCACTTTATGGTGCCAGCTCTCCTGCAGCCCCCAAAGACTCCTTTCTGTTCTCCTCCGGTGCTGAGCGCACACACTCTCACACCCATGTTGCTGAGGCAATAAGAGACTTAGCTGTTGATACACGTTTCTTAAAGAAATACTTCATTTGCATGGTATTTATTTGCGTTGGCATTCAAAATGACCGTTAATTTATTGGTGACTGTAGCTGTTTGAAAAGCAAATGATTTTCATGTTAAAGTGTTGCAATAAATGTCTGAATAAAGAGCTTTTTGTGTGATCCCTTGTTAATAACTATAGAGATCGTTTTTGTTGTGTAATTATATTTATAGGAGTTGTAATTATTTAGGACTTATTTCGTTATGCTTCATATTTCTTGTCATAAAAGTCAGTCGTCTGTATAATAGAAAAATGTTAAGAAATCAAACATGAAAGTTTTTATTTTCATTGCACTTTTACAAGATTTTAACAAAATCGTTGGTTTTGTTTTAAAAAATGGTGTTAAAGACAAAAATATGAAGAAAAAAAACTCCAAACAAAACAGGCCTGTTTTTTTATTAGCCTGGCAAGCCAGACTAAATAAACATCTTACTTAACTTTGCAAAGCAAGGGTTTGGTCTAGTTCCCTAGGCTAGATTTTGACTCATTTGAGAAGTTTTCCACACATGCTTGTGTCAATAGTTTTAAAAGTGAACATCTTCCATCCTGCCACAGGGTGTCGCTGTTCCCCAAAATCAAAACCGCAACTGTTGCTGATCCCTTTAGGATTTCAAACTTTGGCAAACACCTGAAACATTTCACATTAGATGTTAAAGTTTGAAATATAAATGAAATAAAATTGACTATTATTTTCGTTTCCGTTCATGCCTCCTCCAGACAGTCGCGATGAGGTATTTTCTCAGCGGTCCGTGAACAGACGCACCGGTGTCCGGTTGCAGTCCCGGTCCTGAGACAATTCCCCCCTCACATCAGTCAGAAGTCTATTTTTGGTCCCAGGCTCAGCTGATTGAAGCACAAACTGTCCCTCCCTGATTTTTTCTCCCTCTCTATAGTCAGTTGTTCAGTCTTATTAGGAAACGAGGGCGTTTTCTAAAGGCAGAGACGTATTTCACTAACAGTCGGTTCCGAGGGGGATGCTCCTCCAGTGCCTTTATTACTTATCTTTTCGTTGCCTGCTTCTTTTCTTTATTCTTTCCACATCCGCTCCGTTGTTCTAAACAATTTTCATTTCACTGTGATCCTGCTGGCTCCTGGAGGATGGAGACGAGCCCCATCCCGGTGGTGACGGTCCAAACCGCTCCCTTCGAGGACCAAAAGCCCGGTACCAACGGGCTGCGGAGGAAGACGGCCGTGTTCGAGGGGAGGAAGAACTACTTGCATAACTACATCCAGAGCGTCTTGTCCTCTATCGACCTGCGGGACAGACAGGGCTGCACCATGGTGGTGGGCAGCGACGGGCGCTACTTCAGCCGGACTGCCATCGAGGTGATAGTTCAGATGGCAGCTGCCAACGGGGTAAGGAGGTGGAGGACCACCAGAACCTGGCATGCATCAAGACAAAACCGAGCCTAACCCTTTCACTAAAACCCATTTCATCAGGTTTTGCTCCAGAACAAAAGATTCTGTTCACATTAAAAGTGATTAAATACAAACTTTATACAGACTTGCAGAGTTATAACCTTTACACGGCGTTTTGGTTAAAGGTGCAGTATGTAAGAATTTAGTGAAAATTTTACAGTGAAAAAATCCCAAGAGTCTATGTTTCAGTCAATTTGGAGGGAATGTTACTGAAACATTCACAGCTGGCTGCGGGGGATTGTCCGTTGTTCTGATTTCAAAAGAAAGGAAGGAGGGACGTGACTAATGTTCACCATCAGTGAGTGTGGGGTTGTCGTGTCTTCTGTGCGCTAATGCTGCAGCGCTGACAAATGAAATTTGAGGATGGCGGCAAAAACTCCAGAGTTGTTTAAAGTGGTTGCAGTAACCAAATTTTACCACAGGATGTCACATTTACTTCATTTCAACATAATGCACCTTTAAACTACTGTTATTGTGGTTTTAAAAATGCAATTTTCACAAATATAATCATGGTAACCTCGCAACCACAGCACAGACAGACATTTGGGGGCCCCCGTGCCACTGCATTAGATAATCATGTTGCATTTGACCTTAAACACAAATTAAATTTAATCATGCCTATAATTCATGTATGACTGAGGCGACGGTGGCACAGGAGTTAAGTGCTCGCCCCGTAATCGGAAGGTTGCAGGTTCGAGCCCTGCTCAGTCTGTCGCTGTCATGTCCTTGGGCAAGACACTTAACCCACATTGCCTGCTGGTGGTGGTCGGAGGGACTGGTGGCGCCTGTGCTCGGCAGCCTCGCCTCTGTCAGTGCGCCCCAGGGCAGCTGTGGCTACATTGTAGCTCATCCCCACCAGTGTGTGAATGTGTGTGAATGGGTGGATGACTGATTGTGTTGTAAAGCTCCTTGGGGGGTTCCAGGACTCAAGAAGGCGCTGTATCAAATACAGGCCATTTACCATTTACCATATGACTAACTAGAGGTCCTACTAAGGGGTGGCCAGGAAGGGGCATGGCCACCCCTGGAAAATTGTTGCCTGCCCCCAGGAAAGATTCCCACACCTTTAAAAAGAATCATATTTAATATTGAATGTAGACCTAAATGTTAAAGCCAATAAATAAATATTTTTTCATTATGTCCTGTGTCCTTGTCACCCCAGTTCCTTCTGTCTTTCCCCTCTCCCTTTCCTGTTCCCTTAGATTCTTATTATTATCCAGCCCTCACATCAGTTTTCCTCTTGTGTTTTGTTTTGCCTCCCGTTCCCCAGATATTTAGTCTCACCTGCCCATAATGAACACGGTCACACCTGCCCCTTCTCCACTCACCACCTCAGTTATTTAAAACTAAATGTCACTCAGACTCCCACCGCACTCTGTGGCCAGAATACAGCGTTTGCAACTTCAGAGTGCCGGTCCGGTGGCGCTGCAGTATGCTTCCAGCAGGTTTCCTGCATGTTTTAGATCATGAACACAGCGGATTTGTTTAATTTAGTGATGAATCACTCCTGTAGACACTAATGAAGGCTGAGGAGACATTTCAGCTTTCAGATTGAGGTGTTAAAAAAATGAACGCACAGCAAGGATACACATTTTGCTTTCGGTTCTACTAAACAGACACTAGGGGTGCTGAAAACATGCCAAAACTGCCTAGTCTCCCTTTAAAGCAATTAAACAGGCAGCTTCTTGGATTTCCTGCATTTGGGTCCTACCTCAACTAACAGCTTTATGACATTTTTGTTAAGACCGCAGCTACAACAGGCAAATTAAACTGTTTAAAAATTCTAAAACAATAAAATTGAAACAATGACTGAAACTTCACCGGATCTACCACATTACCAAATTGGTGTGCCACCCCAAAATCTTCAGTGACCCCCTCATGCATATTTTCTGGGGGCATAGCTGACTCTGACAGCAAAAAAGCGGTGAGCTCATGCAGGACGACAGTGAAACAGAATAGAGGAAACTCCCAAATTCTCTTCCAAAATACTTTGCTCTGGGATCTTGGATTGTTGCCAAATGGGGAAAACCAAAAAGGAAAGAACTAGAATTTATTTGTTTTTAAAGATTATGCCAGCCCCAGCCAAATGTCTCCTAATGTCAGCCTTATCAGCAGATCCATCCATCCTGCTGTGCTTTCCTGCCTACGTTTCTCCACACGTCACCTCAGAGCCAAGCTCCACACACTGGGGATCCCCTGTCAGAGTGTGTGGCAGAGACCCAACAGCAACGCTTGTACACAATTCACACCCATGCTACACGTTCTGATTGTTACTAGAATACAAAAGTATTTCTAAAATCCATAAAAACACTCACACTTTAGACAGATGGATTCCTGTTGGATGAGGACACTTTGGGTGGGGGGTGGGGTGGGGGGCACCGGTATTAACACTTTACAAGCTCCACATAAATAGAAAGCATAACTCATATATTTAGGGACCCACTTGGAGATGGTCTGCTTTTTAAAGCAGATGGTAAATGAGTCACCTAAACGTGTCTGTAGCGGTGTCGGTTAAACTTTTCGCTTTAACCTTCTCACGGTGACATTAGAGGAAACCGCTGCTCATTATCATCTGTGCTGTACAGATCGGGCGTCTGGTCATCGGTCACAACGGCCTTCTGTCCACCCCCGCCGTGTCCTGCATCATCAGAAAGATAAAGGCGATCGGTGGAATCGTCCTCACGGCGAGTCACAACCCCGGAGGCCCCGGCGGAGACTTTGGAATTAAGTTCAATGTTGCTAATGGAGGTGGGGGCACAACAAAAGCTCCTTTTTCATTTAAAGCATCTAAACAGTCGTTGATTTTTAGTTTTATGTTGCTTTCTGTCGTCTGAAAGGTCCATCTCCGGATACAGCGATGGAGAAGATCTACCAGGTGAGCCGGACACTGGAGGAGTACGCCATCTGCCCCGACCTGCGCATTGACCTCTCTAGGTTGGGAAGACAAGAGTTTGATCTCGAAAACAAGTTCAAACCTTTCAGAGGTACAACTGCCAGAACCTTTTAATGTTAATATAGATAAATAAAAAAGTTACCAGGCACTGACGTACTCGACAGTAAAGCCACTCCGACCCAAAGTCAAATATTTTGGTTCAATTATAAGGAAAAAACATTTTCAGTTTCAAAGTAGGCTTTATAGTAAAAAAAAAAAGAAGGAAATAGAGCTATTTGCTGCCTAATGTAATCATCACAGTTGTTTACTCTTTATTATTTAAAAACACTTCACAACAGTCATTTAAGAAATAAAGTTGGCGCTTCCCACTTAACTGATGTCACATGAAGTAGTGATGTGTCGGTCGCGAACGAACCGGCTCTAAGAGCCGGCTCTTCGAAGTGAACGACGGGAGCCGGCTCGTCATTGGGACCCGTCCCCTCCCCCCTCCCCTTTTGCTTTGGTGAAAGCCACAGGCGATTGGTCAGCATGTGTAACTGCGTGTCCAGACTGTCCACACACAGAGCAGTAGGGGCGGGGAAGAGGGAGGATCAGACTCAAGACACACAGCAGAGCACATGCGGGCGGAGGGAGACGAGAGGGAATGAGGAGGAGGAAAAAGGAGAGAGAGAGAGAGAGAGAGAGAGAGAGAGAGAGAGAGAGAGAGAGAGAGAGAGAGAGAGAGAGAGAGAGAGAGAGAGAGAGAGAGAGAGAGAGAGAGAGAGAGAGAGAGAGAGAGAGAGAGAGAGAGAGAGAGAGAGAGAGAGAGAGAGAGAGAGAGAGAGAGAGAGAGAGAGAGAGAGAGAGAGAGAGAGAGAGAGAGAGAGAGAGAGAGAGAGAGAGAGAGAGAGAGAGAGAGTGACGAAGACGGAGAGAAAATGAGCGCCAGCAGTCGGAAAGTGGAGATTTCTTCAAGTGTTCAGTTATTAAATCCATAGAAATGATAAATATTTGATATATTGCATTTTTTTACATTAGTAAATCATTTTACATACAGTTTTGCATTATTTTGGCTATAAATGTACTCTACGCAACAGAAAATCTGAGGAGCCACTTGGGAGCTGAAAGAGCCGGCTCTTTTTGGTGAGCTGAGCCAAAAGAACCGGCTCTCTAAAAAGAGCCGTAATTCCCATCACTAACATGAAGTAAAAAGTAAAAGATGCCTTTTAAGAGAAATGTATAAAACATAGTTCTCTGTCTTTGCTGAACTCTTCACTTGTAGTGAGATTCTCCACCAAAAGCACAGAAACATTTAACGTTTCATTCAAATGTGATTTCTGAAAAAACAAAGCAATCAGACTTTTTAAAAGTATTTAATGAGTGGAGGATCTATAAAAAATACTATTTTATTTCTCTATTATAGTCATGTTGTTACATAATTTTATAATGAAATAAAACAGATTATTGTGTATTTTTGATAATAGCATGTCCAATAAAATAGTTCAGTGTTAAATCTAGTTTCATTATTATTAGAATAGAATAGATTAGAATAGAAAATCTCTTTATTGTCCCTCAGAGGGGGCATTTTGGAGCATTAGTATTTTGCATCTCATGATTTCTATAAATCATATTAAAAATGCAGACATGCACTGAAACAGTTATTTTTCTGCTCCAGTGGAGATCGTTGACTCTGTCGACATCTATCTACAACTGCTGCGAAGCATCTTTGACTTCTCTGCTATTAAAAGCCTCCTGACTGGAGCAGATCAGCTAAAGATACACATAGATGCCATGAATGGAGGTGAGTTCATCGTCCTCTCTGACCTGTTATTGCTAAGAATCAGTGTTATCTATTAAACGCCACGCTTTGCTTTCACTATCCCGGGCGCTCTCAGTGATGGGCCCGTATGTACGCAGAATTCTGTGCGATGAGCTGGGAGCTCCCGCTAACTCTGCTGTCAACTGCGTCCCTCTGGAGGACTTTGGCGGACAACCTCCAGAGCCGAACCCCACCTACGCCACCTCACTGGTGGAGGCCATGAAAGGAGGAGAGTTTGGCTTTGGTGCTGCTTTTGATGCAGACGGGGTAAGGTGGATTCCTGTCAACGACACGCCTTATAGTGGCAAAAACTGCCAATTGGATACATTTTTTATTAGAACAATCCACCTGTGCACTCATCATTTATTATGTAGCAAATAATACTGTAATTAAAAAAAAAGACAAACATATGACTATTTTTTTTTGTGACATCTGTCTCTGAGAATGAACAGTATTTGAGGCTTTTCTTTTACACCTAAAGAGATTTTTCCTGCCACCTGGAAGTGTATTTCTGTGTAAAAAGTTGTAAATCATTTCTGTCATTGTAGATAGTTTTCTGAATGGCCTCAGTGTTGAGAAAAAGCTTATATGTTCTTTGCTGAGCTAACATCTAGCGAGAGTGCAGCCAGGACCAAAGTATTGCTGCCATCTTTAAAGGTCAACTTTACTGATATATTTAATACATTAGCAGTGGCTTTCAGAATGGGGCATTTCGGGACTCTGTCAAGTAGACAAGGTGGAGCTGGCTACGCCCACCTATCTCCTGTTCAGGCTGCTAGAGGCTGAGAAGCTCTGCTGTCTAGGATGGGCTTGACCCCGGCTTTCCACAGGAGCCGTCAGCAGCACGTCATAGCTGCTGATAGGAACCGCTGTGGTCAACAGAACCTTTTCCACTGGAGCCGTCGGCAGCCGTCAGCAGCGCGAGTCGGCCGCGTCTCAGGAGCAGCATGTCGCTGCCTTTACGCGCCGGTTCTATTTTCTACGCGCAACGCCTCTGAAACGGGTCAAGTTCGACATTTTCGGGGAAGGAAAGACAGGAAATCGGACGCGGAAATGGAGAGAAGCTCCAGAGATTTTCAGAATAAAGAACGTACTGCCTTCCGGTTGCTTTACTTTTAAAAAAGGTTACTAACCGTGCGTCCCCGTGAGAAGTTATCACCTAGCTAGCGGTCTCCTTTGTTTTTCAGGTCCGTATTGGCGATTATAAAACAGACAGAACATGAAACACAAACCATGTTGTAATTTTCTCCTGCTTGTTGTTGTGTTTACTGACGAAGTCACTCGTGTGACTTCGTGCTCGGTCGGTGACAGCTGCTCCCCTGCTGCTTCGCGTCTCATGGGAAGGGCCAAGCAGCAGCTTACGCGAGCAAGACGTGCTGCTGCAGTAACGTGCTGCTGACGGCTCCCGTGGAAATCCGGGGTGAAGTAGTACTGCTGCTCCTCCAGCAGCAGCTTTTTTTTTTTGCATGTGGGATGTGGTTCTATTCTTATTTGTGACATTACAAGCGGGGACTTTTAAAAACAGCTTGTTTTAGGCAAATAAAACCAATCACTGACAAAATGGTTTGGTGGACTTTTTCACGTTTGGTGTGTTTGTAGCGGAAGTAAAGACGCACATGGCAGCACAAAAGGATTCAAAAGCTGAGTTTTGGATATGTCCCCGTTAGAGTTGGAAATACAACTGGAACAAATGATGTTGTTTCAATTCTGAATGCATTTCAAGACTCTGAAGTAGCAGCTCAAACTCCAAACGAAGGATGAGTCGGGCAGAAGTTGCTCTTCCTGTTGGACTCATGAGTGTCCTTGAAGGAGGCGTTTTCAGTCCTCCCCAGAGGCATTTACATACGCTGATGGTTTTCAGCATAGCTTGATCAAATAGAAACATTACTTTCAGACTGACAACACACACTCTCTGCATGATGTATTTTGTAATGTGTGTTTTCTTTTTTCAGGACCGCTACTTGATCCTTGGAGAAAATGCTTTTTTTGTGAACCCGTCGGACTCCGTTGCCATTATTGCTGCTAACCTCTCCACCATCCCCTACTTCAGACAGCATGGCGCCCGAGGATTTGGTAGGAGTATGGCCACCAGCACTGCCCTCGACAGGTACAGCACACACAAGGACCCATTTCACACCTCAGACACCTTCCCTGTAACTCCAGTGGAGCTTGATCTTTATGGCTATTGTCCCTTTTGTTAGACAAGAGCCAAGCAGAACGTCGTGGAGAGGGAGGATACAATCCCAGCTAAAGTCATTCCAAAATCATTTGATTTTTAATGCTTTTTCCATGAAAACATCTAGACTTTTTATGCTATAAGCTCATATTTCCCCAGCAATGATAAAGGAAACTGATGGAGATACGTAATCGTAACCCCTACTTATACCTTATTTTGTATTTCACAGCCTTTATATCAGGGACATGTCAAAGATATTGTGGTTTTCTAATGCCCGCTCAAAAACAAATTGGCATCTAAATAGGTCAAATTAAAAAAAAAAAGATCCCAAAGGAGAAATTAAATGCAATATAAAGGTTCTCCCAGTAGTCATCTGGTTCTAGCTGTGGGTCGTAGGGATAGAAGGATTTATATTCCTCATCCACCTCCACTCCCTCTCCCAAGATGGCAAAAAGGGTTTGACTTAATCCTGCACAAAACATTACGAAACATGACATCATCTCATTAGTAATGTAAGATTCCATTTCTGCAGTTTACTTGATTGAAATCGTTTTAAAAAAAGCTAAGCTAAAACAGATTTTTCCTAATTAAGTAAAACATTTCTCTCACTCTGTCCCATTTTTGAATTAATTACATAATTCAAAGTGAATTTTTTCAGGTAAACTGAATGTAACTGAACCTCCAAATCCCTGATGATGTACAGCAACTGCTAACATTTCTGCAGAGCACGCTCACTTTGCTCAGCTCTCGGCTACCTCTTGGACTCCTCGTGTAACACCCGTGTCCGTGTCTGCGTGTCTCTGACAAACTCCAGGAAGTGTTGAAACACTTACTAGTGTGATGTTGGCTGCTGGAATCTGTCCAGGTGTGGACCATTTTAGGAGTGTGAGTCCAAGAGTTTGAACTGGGCACACTGCCCAGCTCTGTGTTTATGGATATTCAAGCACATTGTGTAATAAAAGCTATGATCAATGCAGCGGTGTGTATGCTGCTGTGTGTGTTTGAGGGAATGAGAAGGGAGTTTTGATCAGATCAGAGGATTTTTTTTAATGAAATCAGCTGGATATGAGGCTAGACTTTTTTAACCTGGTAAAGCCATCGCTCACAAGTAGTGACAGTGATGTATCTGTGCATTAGTGTGTGTCTGTGCACATGCTGGGACAGAGCCGATGGAGGGAAATGTTCCCAGAGGAAACAGCTGCCTCGTTTTTTAACAATGCCAAGGATGGAAGGAAGTAGAGGCAGAAAAACTCAAATGATACAATTAGACAAATGAAACATTGCCATGTATATGTTACATACATCACTGATAAACATCATAGATTATATGGAAAATAGCTATATAAATAAATATTTAAATTTAGAAATGTAACTTGGAAATTGAAGCCCTCTTCCTTGAACCGTCACCTTATCGTGGTGGAGGAGTTTGAGTGCCCTAATGATCCTAGGAGCTATGGTGTCTGGGGCACTTTGTGCCTCTGGTAGGGTCTCCCATGACAAATTGGTCTTAGGTGAAGGGTGAGACAAAGAACGGTTCAGAGGATCTTTCATGGATGTAAATTCAAGGAGTCTGAGAACCCGGTCCGGAGGGTTACCGGGATCCCACCCTGGAGCCAGGCCTGGGGTTGGGGCCCGTGAGCGAGCGCCTGGTGGGTGGGCTTTCGCCCATGGGGCCCGGCCGGGCCCAGCCCGAACCGGATACATGGGCTCATCCAACTGTGGATCCACCACCCACAGGAGGAACATGAAGGGTCCGGTGCAGTGTGGATCGGGTGGCAGACCGAGGTGAGAGCCTTGGCGGTCCGATCCCCGGACAAGGAAACTGGTTTTTGGGACATGGAACGTCACCTCGCTGTCAGGGAAGGAGCAGGAGCTTGTGGCAGAGGTTGAGCGATACCGGCTAGATATAGTCGGACTCACCTCGACACATAGCATTGGCTCTGGAACCCAAGTCCTTGAGAGGGGTTGGACACCCTTCTTTGCTGGAGTTGCTCCGGGTGAGAGGCGGAGGGCTGGGGTTGACATTTTGTTAGCCCCAAGACTCTCTGCCTGTGTGTTGGGGTTTACCCCAGTGGACGAGAGGGTAGCTTCCCTGCGCCTTCGGGTCGGGGAACGGGTCCTGACTGTTGTCTGTGCTTATGGGCCAAATATCAGTTCAGAGTACCCACCCTTTTTGGAGTCCCTGGGACAAGTGCTAGATAGTGCTCCATCAGGGGACTCCATTGTCCTACTGGGGGACTTCAGTGCTCATGTGGGCAATGACAGCGTGACCTGGAGGGGTGTGATTGGGAGGAACAGCCCGCCTGATCTGAACTCGAGTGGTGCTTCGTTATTGGACTTCTGTGCAAGCCGCAGTTTGGCCATAACGAACACCATGTTCGAACATAAGGATGCCCATCGGTACACTTGGTACCAGGGCAGCCTAGGTCGCAGGTCGATGATAGACTTTGTAGTCATATCATCTGACCTGCGGCGGTATGTTTTGGACACCCGGGTGAAGGCAGGAGCAAAGCTGTCAACTGATCTTCACCTGGTGGTGAGTTGGATCAGATGGCAGGGGAAGATGCCGCGTAGACCTGGCAGACCCAAAAGCATAGTGAGGGTCTGCTAGGAACGCCTGGCAGAAGAACCTGTCAAGACGGTCTTCAACTCTCACCTCCGGCAGAGCTTTGACCACGTCCCGAGAGCAGTGGGGGGACATTGACTCCGAGTGGGCCTTGTTCCACTCTGCGACTGTTGAGGTGGCTGTTGCTAGCTGTGGTCGCAACGTGGCCGGTGCCATTCGTGGTGGCAACCCCCGTACCCGCTGGTGGACACCAGAGGTTCGGGGAGCCGTCAGGATGAAGAAGGAGGCCTACAGGGCGTGGCTGGTCTGTGGGTCTCCGGAGGCAGCAGACAGATACCGGATAGCCAAGCGGGGTGCAGTAGTGGCAGTTGCCGAGGCAAAATCTCGGGCGTGGGAGGAGTTTGGTGAGGCCATGGAGAAAGACTATCGATCGGCTCCAAAGAGGTTCTGGCAAACTGTCCGGCGCCTCAGGAGATGAAGACAGCAACTCACTCACACTGTTTACAGCGGGGATGGGGAGCTGCTGACGTCAACTGGGGCTATAGTCGGACGGTGGTAGGAATACTTTGAGGAGCTCCTCAATCCCACCTACGTGCATTCTGAGGAGGAACCAGAGCCGGGAGACCTGGGGGTGGACTGTCCAATCTCGGGGACAGAAGTTGCTGAGGTAGTCAAACAACTACACAGCGGCAGAGCCCTGGGGGTGGATGAGATTCGTCCTGGTATCTCAAGGCTATGGATGTTGTAGGGCTGTCGTGGTTGTCCTGTGGAGTGGCAGACCGGGGTGGTGGTCCCCATCTTTAAAGAGGGTGAACTGAGGGTGTGTTCCAACTATAGGGGGATCACACTCCTCAGCCTCCCTGGAAAAATCTACTCCAAGGTACTGGAGAGGAGGGTCCGATCGATAGTTGAATCTCAGATTGAGGAGGAGCAATGTGGTTTTCATCCTGGCCGTGGAACTGTGGACCAGCTCTATACCCTTGCAAGGGTGATTGAGGGGGCATGGGAGTTTGCCCAACCAATCTACATGTGTTTTGTGGATTTGGAGAAGGCTTATGACCGTGTCCCCAGGGGCAGCCTGTGGGGGACGCTCCAGGAGTATGGGGTGGGTGGCTTTCTGTTAAGGGCCATTCAGTCCCTTTACCAGAGGAGCGTGAGTTGGTCCGCATAGCCGGTAGTAACTTGGACCTGTTCCCGGTGAGGGTTGGACTCCGCCAGGGCTGCCCTTTGTCACCGGTTGTGTTCATAACCTTTATGGACAGAATTTCTAGGCGCAGCCGTGGTGTGGAGTGTGTCGAGTTTGGTGGCAGGAGAATCTCGTCTCTGCTATTTGCGGATGATGTGGTCCTCCTAGCTTCATCAAGCTCTGACCTTCAGCTCTTGCTGGGTAAGTTCGCGGCCGAGTGTGAAGCAGCTGGGATGAGGATCAGCACCTCCAAATCAAGTGTACGCCCAGCTTAAGGCGGCGAAGCTGATAAAAGCAAGACCTCATTACGGAGTTTATCTGTGGGGCCTTGGGCGTAACACTTAACCCACCTGTCTGCTGGAGGTGTTCGGAGGTTGTGGCTACAATGTAGTTTATCACCACAAATGAATATGTCTGTGAATGACTGTGATGATTGTGTTGTAAAGTGCCTTGGGGGGTTCCAGGACTATAGAAGGCGTTATATCAAATACAGGCCATTTACCATCTTCACTGAGTGAAGATCCTCTGGATCTTATGTTTGGTAAAATGTCAAACAAAAGCCAGATATATGCATAGTTTCACAAAAGAGCTACAGATTAACCTCCTTTAAATGCTAACAAACAAAAGCTAAACATGCTGCTTTAGCCAAAAGGAGCCTGATTTCTTTCAACTGGTGCACTTCTTAAACACGATTCTCACACTTCTTTATCCTCTACGTTGTAGTGATCTGCTCGAGCACTCTGGCTTATTTTGGCCAGTGGACGTGCCATTTGAAACAACAAACACTCATCAGCGAGCCTGTTTGTTTTCTTTTAAGGAATGCCAGGCTTTCCATTCCTGTGCTTGCATCCTCAGAGGGGGATAAAGCTGGTTTACTCGTATTTGGTCATTTATGTCGTCTACTTGAAAACAACTGCATGGGATGCTTTGGAATTTATTTACATACGTGATAATTATGTGGATTTGTCTACCACCACTTAGAAACCCTGAACCACCCACATTCAGATGTACCACTTTGTGGATTCCCATAAAGTGACTTGTCTACATAGTTGTTCTTTTGGCTCAAACATATGTTGGTTTATTTGGATATTTTCATCAATGTATTTTTGCAATGCTAAGTGTGTTTATGTTTTGTGATCATCATCTGAGTAGGTGGTTGTCTGAGGAGCCATCTGTGAGCAATAAAAAGTATGGTGCATTCATTTTCCTTACAAACCAAACATAACCACCTCTCCATCCTGGAGATTCAGCAGTCTTGTTGCCTGGGGAATTCAGCTGTTCTGTATCTTTTATTGATTTTGATGCAATGAAATGCTCTCTGTTCACTTGACAAGAGGTTGAATAGCTTAACTATGTTTCATTTTTAAAGACCTTCTAGACGTTTTTTTTAGTCACATATTGCAGGTTCTTTCTTTCACTGACACTGCAGTTAGCTTATCTTGTGTCCTCAGTGAATTTAATGAGCTAGTTTGAGCTAAATTAAACATGTTTTAGCAGAGAAAAGACTAAGACTGAGAACACATCCTTGGGGGACTCCTGTGCTCAGTATGATGAAGCAGCATACATTACCACCAACACATGCTAATGCTTTTCTGGCATGAAGTCCAAAATACAGTTTTAGCATGAGGCCTGATAAATCAGAGAGCTATTATGAAATTATTGTGATGAAGGCTGATGAGAAGTCCATTAATGGGATTATGGCAGTGCTGTTCTTAATTTCCTGATGAGATAAGTCAGACTGTAGATAGACTCTGTGTGATCGCATCCTCCTTAGACAGGTTGGTACAATAGGAAAAGAGAAGGGGGTCCAGAGAAGGTGGGAAGCTGGTTGTGATGTGACACACGACTGATATTTCAAAGCACTTTCTCATGACAGAGATTAACTTCAAAATTGGATGGCTTAGCAACCAGCGAAAGGATGAAGGCTGCTGCAAGTAGGGGAAACACTGTGGAGACGAAGTAAACAATGCTAGCTTAGCCACTGGCTAGATGGCTGCTGGAACGTGTTGGGAGAGACACGACAGGCTATGGGAGGAGAAGAGGCTTGAGTAGAAGGAACTTTTTTAGTCTTGACCTCATAAGAAGGACTTTGGAACTGATTCGTTGGGACCGGATCGGGAGCTCTAGTGTGAAGAAAAGATGAATGAGCAACTTGAGGTGACTTAGGGACACCGCTTGGAGGCTGGTGTCCAGCTCATAGCAGGCGGGAGCTCATCATATGCAGCTGCCGAGACTTGGACTTGATGAGCTCCTGGCTTATTTGACGTGTATTTCAAATTCATGGTTTGTTATTCGAACAAATCATGTACAGCAATGGCGTAGCTAGTCTCTTCTTCTTAAGGTTGGATTGGCAGACTTCCTGTTTCCAGGGCGTACTGCTGCCCTCCGCTGTTTCTTTCGGGCTATGGTCACTATGTCCTTAAATAGCTACCATATTTCAAGAATGTGCATGACCATGGACCGTCGACCACAGTTTATGTTTTAAAAATGTAAAATTTCAAACTGAGAGGAATATTTAGAATAGATGTCGGTGAGAAACATTGTTGACAAAGGACACGTTTGTGAATGGTAAACACAGATTTTGATAGTAAACAGTTAAAAATATTACACACTGTGGCTTTAAGGCTGGTTAAATTTGTTTCATCAGGTTACTGAGCACACTACAGTTCCATCTTCTTTTTTCACTCCTTTATTTAGTCCTATTGTGCCTTTATCCAACCCCTAAAGAAGAAATATTGCTGTCTAAGTGCCACAATATGCTCAGCAGCTTGTCAGTTTCCAATTGGTTTCATGCAGGTATGTTTATCTGAAGTTGTTTGCTTTTTTAAGAAGAGAACAGCTGTCAGCTGTTGGAGTAAAATATGCTGCCAGAGCCAACTAAAACACTTGTCGGCCATGAAACAAAAAGTTGTTCAAAATCTCCAAAGAATTTGAGGGAATTTTATAAATTATGTTACAGTATTTCCCTCGTATCCAACAGTTTCTTGTGTTTGCACATTTAAACTGAAACCATTTAACTTTACTCACTAATATTTGACACATTATCCACCTCCTGTGACCCCAATAATCACTCACCCACATGAATGCGCACAAGCGTCCTCTTTTCTTATACGACTGTATTATTCATGTTCAAAGCAAGCATCAACTAAAAGGTTGACTCACTTTGCTCCAGCTACATTTTGCCTTATAAAGTTATTGGATGAACTGCTGGCAGATCATGGCTGTCTTGCAAACATTTGGTTTGCTTTATTTCAAAGGTCAATGGATAAATGAATGTGTTTGTGTGAGCAAAGGTACAAACTTTGTCTCTCCCTTCTCCTCCGTGTGTTTGTAGGGTTGCCAAAGCCATGAAACTGGCTCTCTATGAGACTCCCACAGGTTGGAGGTACTTTGGGAACCTGATGGATTCCGGGCGTTGTTCCCTCTGTGGGGAGGAGAGCTTTGGAACAGGTATGATCAAACAGATCCAATGCATAAAATGCACATAAAAAAGAAACGTATGGTTGCTAAAATATACGTAAACTTTCAAATATTATTCCTGACAGCAGACGTTGTGAAGAGAGGGTCATGGATTAAAATCTCTGGGCTGACTTTGAAAGTGTGTGTGGGTGTGTGACAGAGAAACCCCCTCCTGTACACCAACTGCTGAGGTGCTTACAGAAGAAGCTTTAAAGCACCCCCCCCCCCCCTCTCCCCAGCCAGCTGCTTCTATGTTTCTATGTGTTCACATCATAGAAATTACTTTAAACTAACTAAACTAAGATGTTTCTTTCCAATGTATTTGTCTTATCCTATGGCACCATCTAGTGGCTGATAAGCAAATCACACAAATAGTCAGTCAATCTGTTTTTTAAGACAGCGACTTCACGTTTTTTGTTTATAAATGTGCTTCTATAGCCAACAAACAGAGCTAAAACACGTAGTTTTACTTGTGTTATTCTCATGTCATGGTGTGTTTTCATATATTTATATTTTAAAGACTTAGATGTCCGTGAAAAGTTCATCAACTCTGCATCAGCCGAGGTACGTCTTTAAATTTGAAGCAGGTAAGCGGTAGTCTAACGCTATTGGTTAGTTCTGGTTTGCGGTCAGTTTCCTATTGCAGGAAGCTCTGCGGGGCACGGGGCGTGCGTAGCAAAACGAAACAAAAAAAGACGTATCGCTTACATTATATCACAGTACATGATAAGATAATCACTTTTACGGATTTATGAAAAATCATACATAATTTCTGAAAGGGGAAACTCCAGAAAATTTACTTGAGGCCTTTTTTTTTTTTTTTACAATTACTCCACTACATTTTCTAAAAGGCATTAAAAGTAAACGTACTTATAGATTTACGTTTTGCCTGACTGCCACACCGCCCCCGGTCTGATGGACACACACAGCAGTCCCTAATTTGCCGCCTCACTTCTACACACTAAACACATATTTAATTGTTAGTTGAATACATTAAATTTTTTTTTACCTTAAAATATATTAGAAAAGGCATATGTTAACACTTTTACTACAATGTCTTGGGCACTTGTTCTTAAAGAGCTAGTTCACTGAGAAATTGTTTTTACTTGCTATAAAATGATAGTCACTCTGAGTTTTACATGCAGGCTGAACATGAAAATGGCTTGAACCCCTACTTGTCCTGCATTAGCCACTGATGGAAAATAGACGGGGACATGTTTGGCTCAGAATAGCCAGTCAGACTGAAAATCAGCATTCATGGACTCATCCATCTTGGTTCACGACGGGGAAGGTCGATGTTGATTTAGTGTCCAGCAAGCAGCAGAGCACATCTCGACTGGTAGAAGCTAACGTTAGCATTAGCAACTCCACCACATGGCAGAACTCCTTCAGGCTTGTGTTATTTGTTGAGATAAAACATTAGTGTTGCAAAAAAAAAAACGTTTCAGTGGTAGAGTCATGTTAATGTTAGCCAATCAGAGGCAAGAATCAGAAATGAAAACTCAGAATCCTGCTGTCGTCCGCTCCCTAATCCTCTGGCTAACTTTTACTTCTTGAAACAGGAGCGCGAGAGCTTTTTTCAAGATCGACTCACAAGCTGTTTATTTATACTAGAAACCACTACAAATGTATTGAAAACAAACAACCCTTACCCTTAACCATAAAAATCAGGTCTAAAATACATGGGAGCAGGTCTGACGCCTTTGGCATACAGAAGACAGATGCGCTGTGCCACAGAAGCGCAGCGGTTTTGAGGTCACACAGGAATCGTTACGCCGCTGAGCACTTCTTGGAAAGTCACGCGATAGTCACAACATCACACGAGACTTGAGAACAGGAAGCGGAAAGTGACTCTTTTGTTTATACGTGATCAGACTTGCCGTCGTGTTTTGTGAGACTTTGATTCAGGGGCGGATTTAGGACTGAAAAAGATCCGGGGCTTAACACACACACGCGTGCACACACACACACACATGTGCACACACACACACGTGACATGCACTAGACAACATCATATATATGACTTGTACCACATAATTTTTCATCTGAAGCTACATATTAAGCATTTTCAGGGCAGAGTATTGTTCCTGTTAGTGGTTAGTGTGAGATGATAGTAAATATTCCCTTTCTTTCTCCAACCACTTTACCTGATAGTAAGCTAACTTTAGGCAAACCAGCAGCACAACAAATATTTTCTAATAAGACTCACAAACCTGAGTCAACACCAGTCTCATCAAAGCTGGGGTTCTGTCGTTGTACTTTTTGTCTAAAAAACGTCCTTATGTCCATCTTCACACATGCGTTTCAGGCAGAGAGTGTAGAAGAAGCCGGCTGCTGAAGGGCTTCTTCTTCAGTGGTGGAGGCTCAGGCAGGCTGTATACAAACTACTGCCAGCTGCTCCCTCTCTGTTGGACTTTGGTACTGCATGTTACTTCCGCGATTTAGATCCGGGGCTTTTCATGAAACATCCGGGGCTTCAGCCCAAGTAGCCGGGCCTAACGCCGCCCCTGCTTTGATTAATTAAAAATAGGCAAGTACGCAATTTATTAGAGTATTTTAAGATCAACAGTTCAACAATAGAAAGCTCTTCGTACATGTTTTGGTGGATGGGTTTGTGCCGTAAAGCCATTCCGCGTCGTAATGTCCACAATGTTGCGAACAGCTGCGCCACGGCGCTTGAAATAGAACTATCGCCTATATTTAGCTCCTCGGCGCGAACCGGCGCTTCTGGAACACGGTGTTGTGCTCCTCGTGTAGCCCCTCTCAGTTACTATAATGGCTTCTTTTTAACGTGACGGCACAGGAGTGACGTGGCGCAGCGCATCTGTCTTCTGTGTGCCCCAGGCTTAAGTCTCTGAGCGACGCCATATTAAACGCCGTGTTTACAGCTACAGAAACCCGTGAGGACAAAATGCATTTACTAATTTGTAACACACAAACAGTTACAATTCTTTCGCCATTCATAAACGTTGTTGTTATACACATTTACCTCTTCGCACGTTTCCAGTGATGAAAGGGAGTCTGATGTGCTTGTCATTGTGCTGGAGGTTGCATTCCCAGGGATCTTTGACCCTAACGGCCATCCGTTGAAAACGTCTTACTCGAACACAAAATTACTGCTTGATTGCAACTATTTAGGTATGTACTGCCCCCTATCGCCTGGGAAAATACACTTAGTCACTTTAAGCATTCTTTACCCTTGTATCTGTTCTTTTACTTAAGTAAAGGCCATCAAGTACTTTTGCCAACACCGTCCACAAGTGAATGATCTAACAACCTCCATGAGTAATCCGCTCTGTGCCCCAAATATCACATATTTGCTCCTGGTCCAGTCTATTTACAGGTCTGGAGTTGTGAGTAGTGCATCCTGGCTGCCTTTAGCACCAGTCAGAGCAGCCTAATAGATGATAGGGCTTTGACCCTGACTGCACAAGTAAATAATCCCCATTCTTCTGCTATAAAAGGAGACCGGGGCTCCCTGAATCACTGCAACATGCCTCCGGTGGAAACAAGCATAAAACATGCAAATGCAGACTATGCAAAATGTGGCAGATGATAAAAAAAAAAAATATATATATATACATATATTATCCATGTATTTGCATCTGCTCTCTGCTTATAGTAGTGTCATTACTTGTCTGGCCTGTCCTAGTTGTCAAGTTTTTGAAGAGGGGAAAAATCTCTAAAAGTTATTAGAAAAAAATTCTAGTTGTGTGAAACACGAGCAGAAAAAACTAAATAGAAATGGAGAGTGGTGGGAGAGTCCAGATGAGAGAGATATTGACGAGGACAGCAGAAGGAGACTGAGCAGAGCCTGGAGGACTAGGGAGCTCACTCATTGTCTCTCCTTGTAAGGCAATCATCAGCGCTGCACACCGCTCCTGCCCTTAACCTACTCTAGCACACACACACTGCTTGAAAAGCCTTAATTCAGCCAACTTTTTAGCAAGACTTTGCTGTGCAGATGTGTTAATGTTGCTTCTTACTGCTCAGGTCATTCATTTGAAACCAAATACCTTTCTAAAATCATTGTGACATTTCCCACGAGGTCTTGTTGATATTTTTTTAATGTTAAAACTGATTTTAAGACAGAGTTGGGCTAAAAGGAGAAGCTGTGCTGTCATGATGGCTAACTTTCATGAAAGCAGCTGATGAAGCAGATCCTGGATCTGTTTTGTTAGGTGGACCTCTTTGACTCTTCTCAGAGACAAACGGGTGGACCGACAGAGAGGGAGGGATTAAAGAGCGACAACTGTGAGTTTCCTAACAACTGTGCTCTGACAAAGCCGGACGTGGGGCTCAGCAGGACTTCATTTCAGAATTTGGTGATAAAAGCATGTAAATAATTAATACAACAGGATACCTTTCAGTATATATTTGTTGAATTTAATACACAAGGAAACAACTTACAGCGGTACTACTAGCAGTTTGACTCTATTTCTTCTTTAAACTTTGGCGTGGAAACATTGCTGACACATTCTTAACCTTACGGATACCTTCACTGTGCAGCTGTCTTTGTGAACAGACTTATAGCTCCCATGTGGGATTTTTTTTTTTCCTTTCTGTTTTGTTGACCTAGCATACGGAGCGCAGCACGTATAAAGTGTTTTTTCAATGTAAATAGTTAAATTAGACAAAAAAATTCACCTTCTTAACTCATTAAATCTATTGTAATACTTGGAAAATTTGACCAAAACTACCATTTGAATTTATTGAGTCTCATTCATAGACTGTACAAATAAGTAAGTAAGTAAGTAAGTAAGTAAGTAAGTAAAAGTTTATTTATAGAGCGCCTTTCACAGATATAAATCACAAAGCGCTGTACAACATAAGTAAGATCAGGGCAAATACCTCTAACCAATAAAAACATCAGAAAAACAATAGCAGTGATAAAATAGTACATAAAATCATGAGTAAAAACCAAGTGAAGGTGTGAACCCGAACAAAGCCATCTTTTAGAACATTTAGGGAGGGAACGCCTGGATGAAAAGGTGAGTTTTTAGATGATTTTTAAAGACCTCTACAGTGTTAGAGAGACTGAGATTTGAAGGCAGACTGTTTCAAAGTCTGGGGGCAATAGTCTGAAAGGCCCTGTCCCCTTTGGTTTTCAGTCTGGTTCGAGGAACGGCCAGGAGGTTTTCAGATGGTTCTGTGAGGTGGTGTGTGGGGATAAAAGCTCAGATAGGTAGCTTGGAGCCTGGTTATTAAGAGCTCTATAGATCAGGACTAAAACTTTAAACTGTATTCTATATTCTACCGGGAGCCAGTGGAGGGACTGTAAAACTGGAGTGATGTGAGCTCGTCTGCTGGATTTGGTTAGGAGTCTGGCTGCTGCATTTTGGATGGCTTGAAGGCGTGAGAGGGAGGTTTTGCTGAGACCAGTAAAAAGAGCGTTACAGTAGTCTAAGCGTGATGACCAGGGCTGGACTGGGACAAAAATTCAGCCCGGGCATTTTGATTGGAGACCGGCCCATCACCTGGTTTTTTTGGAAAAGACATTAAGCCTTACGCTGTTTCTGACACACACCTACGTACACTTTCTTATTGGTAGTATTTATGTATCAATCTAATAAACGTAAACCTACACCATCCTTCCTATCCTGGTATTCTAAAAAAGTAGGGTTGGGGGCAAATGATTATTTTTAAAATGATTATTCTGACGATTATTTTATCGAATAGTCAACTATTCTAATGACTATTTAGATGATTAATTTAGCGATTATTTTTCTATTGCACAATTAATAAAAACCAAAAAATCTCAAATAAATTCCTCCAAAAAATTGATAAGTTGTTACTGTAAGAGAATAAACACTACAGGCCTTCCATTTTGTATAACACTGCTTTTATTGTGTTGCGGTTGTTTATATTCTGGTGACGTGTAGATCATGCAGGCTGCTGCCTGAGAGGTGGTTGGAGACGGAGTGTCTCCATGCTGCTTTGTTTTGGTCACTTATGTACGTGAGGCAAGTGGTGTTACGACCCTTGCTGGGGAGTCACGTGTAAAGGGTTAAATTTACCTAAATATTACCTTATTTATTATCTCTTGATGTTATTCGTCCCTATTTCTGTGGTTAATTGACAATAGTTTCCTGAAATGTTTCTCCTATTTTAACTGTAAATCCTTCTAGCTGTTATATTTATAACAAGAAACAGATATTCGGACGGAATATTTTCATGTTTATTCGAATATGATTGTGGAACACACCCAGCATCATAATAAATGAAGTCATATTTATGCCAATTTAAGCCTTTATGGGTGACCAGGACTGTGATCAATTTTTGGCAAGGGAAATTATCATTTGTTGCCATTTTTGAGGTGTTTATGAATGTGGAAGACACCCAGCATCCTGTGATGGCACTAATAACATCAAGAGATAATAAATGTAACCCTTTACAGGTGACCAGGACACTGTAATCAATTTTTGGCAAGGGAAATTATCTTTTTTTTTTGTGCCATTTTTGGGGTGTTTTTGATGACACAGTAGGCAGTATGAGTACAGTAACATCAACAGATAATACATAAAACCCTTATTTGGTCAATTTTAGCCCCCATGAAAATCTGAGCGATTCAATCACTTTTTGGCAAGTAAAATGCCATTTTAGTTATCTACAATTAAATCATCAATAAAGAATTTAAAGATATTTTGAGGCATTTCTTATAGGTAAACGGGAGGGTGTAGTCTATTTGGCAAGTGACAATCTTAATTTTATGTGCTGAAGTGCTTTTATCTTGTTACTTTTAAATAGAGCAACGTAATGTTTAGCAACTTACACAGTGTCATTGTAAAGCCAAAGCTTGATCAGTTTAAATACTTTTTTTCCAAGTAAAAATGTGCCCCAAACTAGTTAACCGTGGCTCCATGTCAAGTGGACTAAAGAAAGGAAGGGGAAAAAAATTAAATCGCTGGAGAATTGTTTATTTCCATTTATACAACATTTGACTTTACATTCAATACAGGGCGCCATTTTACATTGTTTATTTATTTTTTTAGTATCAAGGCTGTAACATAAAGAAAGCCAGTTCTTACCACAAACCATCTTTCAATCGCAAATGTTGCAAAAAGGATTAATATATCCTCATTGTGAACGTTTAAGATAAATAGCAACACTTAAAACAACTTCCGAACTGGAAAAACTTATGTGGCAAGGTGAAGAAACAATGCCCGAGCGGGATTCGATCCCCAGACCTTTGGGGTGAGAGTCATACGCTCTAACCACTCAGCCAAAGGGACATCCCCTTGGCCAAGTAGCCAGGGCGCAAGATCAATCGGGACATTGTGACAGGATGCTCACACTGTCACATCTTCCTCCCTCTTTCCACAAGCACGTCCTCGAGCGCCCGCGCAGGGTGCCACCAACACTGCCACACTAATATCCGCGATAAACATCTGTTTAAGTACCGGAAGAGGTTATCTTTGCTTTCTAAATGTCCATATTGCTAGATATGCCGAGTTTTAGGGCGAAATCCTGGGGAATTTTGTCTAGAAATGCAATTACCTCACCGTGCGCGATCCCGCGGTGGCTAATCATTTTTTGGCAGCGAGTCGATTAATGGCACAACACCGGCTCGGGTTTCTCCTCCTCCTCCCTCTTTTCTTCTCCAACCTGTCGCTGGGCTGAGGCTCCATCACTTCCTAAATTGATTTTACTTGAACCTTCACTACCAAACAACTGTGAGATTTTAACACATGTGCCAGCATCAGCCTGAAGGGCCAGTCTCTTTTTTAGTCGAATTTTCTCCGCTCCTCCTTTCCGTTTTTTGTTCTCCATTTTGTTAAGCTCGTCTGTCTGTTTACTGAGATTCACAAACAACTGGCGGGTGCATCAGACCTCTGGCTATTGGTCCAGCCCAGAGTGTATTATTACCAATTGGCCAATCCACCAACTTTTACGAGGCGTCGCGTGGGGCGGCGCGGACAAGTTGTCCGCAACAACTAGAGGCCAGAAAAAAAAAAAAAAAAAAACAGACACCGGCCCATAAAAGATGAAAGGGTCGGCCCAGCGGGCAATTGCCCGCTATGCCCTATGGTCAGTCCAGCAGTGGTGATGACACAAAGGCATGGATGATTTTTTCCAGATCTGCAGTAGAAACCAGTTTACGGACTTTTGAAATGTTTCTCAGTTGAAAGAAACAAGAGCGGGAGATGGTTTTGACGTGTGAGTCTAAACTTAAAGCTGGATCAAAAATAACTCCTAGGTTTCTAATGTTGGCCTTGGCTGATGGGCAAAAAGAGGCAATTTCTTGCTCGATTTTTGGCTGAAGTTCCGGGGGTGCAGCGATCAGGGTCTCTGTCTTGTTAGCATTGAGGACAAGAAAGTTGCTGGACAGCCAGTTACTGATCTGGGTCAGGCAGAGTACAAGGGTGGCCAGCCTGTCCAACTGGTGTGGCATAAAGGACATGTAGAGCTGAATATCATCAGCGTAGATGTGGTAGGAGATGTCTGGGAAAGACTGAATGATGCCAGCTAGGGGAAGAATATAGAATGCGAATAGTAGAGGCCCTAGAACTGAACCTTGTGGGACCCCGCATGTTAGAGAGGCAGTATCTGAAGAGAAGAGAAAAATAGAGAAAGAAGAATAGAGAAGAATAGAGAAAAAAGAAGAGAAAAATAAGATGAACAGAGTCTGTATAACGTCACCCACAGGTTTCTGAAAAGCTGAATTGAAGCTCATTGGCCGCGTCACTCCCAGAAAACAAAAATGGAGCTGAGAGTGAGATTATGAGGGTGAGGGCAGATGAATGACACCCATCAAACTCTGCGCTAACTGCGCTAACCTGAAGCCAGCCAAAGCTAACAGAAGTTGGTGGGCACTTTCAGCCAGAAAACTGCAGTTGAGCGACTCTTCTACCCCAAACCTTTTAGGCTGTAACACTTTTCTTGAGAGGCCGAGGCTGAGGCCTTCCCTGGAGCAAGCAGGACCCTAGCCGCTAGTGCTAACAGCTCATCTGCTACCTGTCAAACAAAAGGAAACACCCATAATTATTCATCATTTCAAGCTTTAATTGCATTAAAAATCCACCCCTTCAAAGTTGGGTCACTTTACCAATTAAAGCTAAAATGTTTAAATTTTTTTGCACCAGGCTATAAACATGTTCATTTCTGCTGTGAAATTGCAATGTTTAACATGGGAGTCAATGGGAACTTGCTCCTTTCTGGAGCCAGTCCCTAGTGGTAGAGGGGGGAGCTGCAAATTTAGTCACTTCTGCGTTGTTTTCACTTTTGGCAGATAGAGTTTCCCCCTTGGTCTCATCACTCTTTTTTAATTAAGAAACAGATTTTATAAATTGTTGCAGATTAGCAAGAGTAAATAATTTCATCTGCTCATAAATCTGTGAATAGTATTCTCTAGTTCACTTCAATGTGAACAGATTTAGGCTGCAGGCAGTGGCAGGCTTCTGTGTCTTTGAAGCTGTGCTGTTGAGCTTTGGCTTTGTCCTAGAGAAAATATTCTCTTTGCAATGTTTTATCTGTGATCTCCTGAGCCAAAGAGGCTAAACTGGTGGTGAAGTGTTAGTGTTGCATCGAGTCCCCCCCAAATTATGATTTTTAATGCTTGTTTTGAACTTTTCCCTAGAATAATTTCTGTTTCTCTTTCAGGTTCAGACCACATTCGGGAGAAAGATGGCTTATGGTCGGTGTTGGTGTGGTTGTCTATCATAGGAGCCAGGAAACAAGGAGTGGAGCAGATCGTCAGAGAGCACTGGGCCAGATTTGGACGCAACTACTTCTGCCGGTAACTAACCAAGAGTAATTGTAATTGTAATCACAATTTACATTTTGACTTTAAATGCTGCATGATGAAGATCTTCACCTTTGTCCATTCAGTTCCCAGTCATCGTCACTTGTCGTTATGTCAACCTGCTGTTCCCTGTGACGATTATGGTCCGAGTTCCCACTGACAGTAACTGCAGCTTTTTACAGTCCCACTGAGAGCTTTTATGAACTTATGCACATTTCCCATAAGACACTGAAAAATAACTCATACAGGATCATTCAGGGACAAGGCCAACTTGAAATCTGTAAGACATAACTCAGAGAAACATGAGTGGATTAGCTACTTTCTGCTAGTCCAGCTTTAGGTTGAATTAATAAAAAGTTCTTCCATGAAAATCCTCCACTTCTGCACCTCTGTGTGTGTGTGTGTGTGTGTGTGTGTGTCTGTCTGTGTGTGTGTGTGTGTGTGTGTGTGTGTGTGTGTGTGTGTGTGTGTGTGTGTGTGTGTGTGTGTGTGTGTGTGTGTGTGTGTGTGTGTGTGTGTGTAAGATTTGACTACGAAGGCCTGGACCCACGTGCGGCCTTTTACCTGATGAGGGACCTGGAGGCGGTGATCTCAGACAAAGCTTTCACCAGTCAGAAGTTTGCTGTGGGCGATCGTGTGTTCAGCGTGGAGAAAGCTGAGAACTTTGAGTACATCGACCCGGTGGATGGAACAGTGGCTCGGAACCAGGTCAGAAGGAGGCAGTTGTGAAACTAATCATTTATTTTCCCCAAATAACCAGTTTCAGCTTCTACGAGCTGTGTTACACCGATTGAACGAGAAACGTAGGATGATAAATTTGTGTTTTATTTTTAAAGTTAATATCACTTTTGAGCTACAGTTGCTTATCTTCAGATTTTCCTTTGCATAAATAAACCTTTTGCAGATTTATCAGCTTATGTTTTTATTGTAAAATAGTAATAATAATAATAATAATACATCAAACTTATATAGCGCTTTTTAGGACACTCAAAGACGCTTCCATGAACTCTCACATTCACACACTGATGGTAAGCTACTTTGTTGCCACGGCCGCCCTGGGGCGGTCTGACAGAGGCGAGGCTGCCATTTGGTGCCGTCGACCCCTCTGACCACCACCAACACAGGCAAGTTAGGTGAAGTGTCTTGCCCAAGGACACAACAGCAGAATACCCCTGGCGGGAGCTGGAATCGAGCCCATGACCATGAGGCAACCCGCTCTACTTCCTGAGCTACTGCTGCCCAAAGTAAACAGCAGTGCAGAAATAGATCATGTGAAGGAAGAGGTGTTTTCTTAATACTGCATGTTTAACTCAATCAGCAGGCTCTCATTCTCAGGGGGAACAATATTAGTTTTTTTTTTCAACTCTGGTGCCCTTGGATTAGAGGTGTCCAATGTGTGGCCCATGAGCAATTTGAGCCCATGAGCAATTTGAGGTTGGAGGGATTTTATACAACCCTTGTATTCAATTTAAGAAAAGCAGATTTTTGACCTGCCAGAATAAGGTATTTATGTAGAAAGGCTTATTTTTAATCTTTAAATGAAAACTTAATAAGTCCTTATAAAAAAACAAATGATCTTTAAATGAAAACTTAATAAGTCCTTATAAAAAAACAAATGAAGTAACGGGGACTTTTTTGAAAACTCACATTTTGCATCCTTTTGTGCTGCCATATGGGTCTCCAAACGTCCATTTTCTGTCAGCATTTGGTTTTAGGCACCATATGCTTAAACTAAACCATTTAAAAACGTTCCCGTTTGTGATGTCACAAACAGGCAAATTAGAACAGAACCACCTCATGTGCAAGAGAGAGCTGCTGCAGCTGGAGGAGCAGCGGTTCTCTCTAAAGTCATCCAGGATATAAGAGCTTCTTAGCTAATAGCAGCCTGAGTGGGGGTGAGTAGGTGTGTACAGCAACGGCTTGCTTTCTTAAGGCAAATTTATACTTCCCTGTCTGTGTTGGTGTGTAGACACACAATGCCATTATCTGTCGTTGCGATGGCTCTCCAACAGACACGCAAAGATGGACAGAGTCGAGCCCGATTTTCTAAAAAATTGTCGAAGGCTGGCCTGGACGCTGATTCCTTTAAGTACGTCAACAGCACTGCCATTAACCCCTCAAAAAAATAAAAAGAGAGCCAAAGATGTCAAGTGGCAGATCCGGACAAATACCTAGTGGAAACTTCTGAAAATATAAATGTTTATTTGCCCGTGACTGGAATATAAAGAAATGCAGCGTTTTATTCGTGGAGCGAAATTATGAGAAAAGTGGGTTTAGAGGGGGCAAGTGCATGAAGCGGTAGAAGAGAAGGAGGGACAAATGTTTCTGTGTTTAAAAAGCCTGAAATACAAAAAAACACTATATGAACACAATTTTGGACCGGACACATGACTATAATGGTGGCAGGATACCCCTGAAAAACGCTACGCCCTTTGCTTTGCAACACTCCCCAGGTGACGGATAAGTCCGATGGTAAAAGTTCTCCTTCAATACGTCCGCGCGACTCCACTTTCGAGCTGACAGAAATCAGACTCTGAAGTGACTGAGCCCTGAAATGACTCATTCTGGAAGGTACTGAAAATGCCAAGAATCAAATAGCTAAAATTATTTTATGTGAGAGGGGTTTGGTGCAAAGAACCTCAGAAACATGTTTTGCATCAACCATAGAACTATTATAACTTAACTTATAAGAAGAAAGTTATGTCTCCTTTAAAATGCATTACTATGCAAAGTTTATGAAACTGGCTTCAGTACATTCACAGTAATTTGGGGTGGGTGGTGGTGGTGGGGTGTTGTTGGCACAGCGCCAAACATATCCAAACACACCAACACATTCTTACTCCCAGCACGTCAAAAACAAACGCTTGGTCAGCCACCCTCCGCCTCAGACCCCTGACGCCAAAAGTGCCCTTTTTCGTCACTTATGTGCGAAAAGGTTTTCTTCCCTTTTCTGACTGCAGATCCCAATGCAGCGTTACACTGACGCGATGGGATGTCCGCTGCCAGGGCACCAAACAAGCTCATTGTACCTCACCCTAACCTTATCCTCTTGTTCCCCTCACCCCTATCCTAACCTTAACCATCTTGCTAGCTAACACGTTAGTGATGTGTCGGTCGCTCTAAAAGCCGGCTCTATGAAGTGAACGGCGGGAGCCGCCTCGTCATTGGTCGGGTTTGGACCGAGGCAACGCGAGGGGGAGGTTTCAGCTACTGAGGTGGAGGTTAAACGTAGAGGGTATTTGTAACCTCCCCCTCGCCAGATGGTATGTTCTAACGTTCCCCTTGGGCGGCAAATACGAAAGTTCACAGTCAGAATGCATGGGAAACAAACGCTTGATCACAGTGAGTGTAACGTTTTAGGTAGCAAGAGGGTTAAGGTTAGGAAGAGGGTGAGGGGAAGGTTATAAATAGTAAAACGTTAAGGTTTAGGTGTGGTTAAATGAGCTGGTTCGGTGCCGCATCAGCGGACATCCCATCGCGTCAGTTTTACGCTGCATTAGGATCTGCAGTCAGAAAAGGGGAAAAACCCTTTTTGCACATAAGTGACGAAAAAGGGCCCTTTTGGCGTCAGGGGTCTGACGCGGAGGGTGGCTGACCAAGCGTTTGTTTTTGACGTGCTGGGAGTGAACACACAACACAAAGCTTTTGGGGAGGGGGTTACGCAATAATTGCATGGCAGCCCCTTCGCTCCTGAATTAGTTTATAATTTTTCCTAATTTCAGATGTTTTTTTGTTTAACACCTGTCATATTTTACGTATTTGCCTCGATTTTTGTTGCTTTTATGCATCATGTGAGGATTTTATCTCCAAAACGCTCTTGCATAAAACTGCATACTTAAGCCATGTTTCTGAGTTCCTGACTGTCATTTTGGATTGAAATGCTTCAAACGGTCACTAAATGAGGTGTACGCTGTTGGTATGATGATGGCGCTCCACTCTTAGCCTCCTGAGTTCTGCAGCAGATGGTGTTTTTAACAAGCATTAGCCTGTCAGCTCTCTGATAACTGCAACTCTATTGTTAGAGATGAGCTGGCCCTCTCACAGACGGTCAGGCGGACATCTCTCATTATCACCGTCTCCCTTTAAACATGCTATCACTTTCTCTCAGTGATGAGAGTCACAGAGTAAAGGGGAGACTTTTCAGTGGCGCTTTCTTTCTCTTAAGATTCACAGTATGAATAATCTGTCCCCTCTTGGACAATCACTCATTTGATTTAGATATTTTTAATACATAAAACCCTCAGAGAGCAATAGGGTTGTACCAGAAGTGGAAAGTTTGAAAATAAAATCACAAATTTGACCTAATCCTAGTTTGTGAGACCTAAAATGGTTTTTAAAATTTCCCATAGCTCTTTCAGGTCATTGCCCCCCCCCCAAAAAATACCCGTATGTATATATATACTGTATATTGCTTTTGAACATTTAAAAGTTCAACGTGGAAAACTAAAACGTTTGATTAAAAAATAAAAAAATATATACATTTTTTATTTTAAATCCAATATTTCTAAATAATAAAAATAAATGTAAATTGAATAGAATAAAACATTAGAATCCCCTTTAAGGGTCCTAAGAGGTTATTATTACCCTGTTGGAATATAAAAACACTTAAAAACTTAAGACATTTCAAAACATTAGGCAGCACTTTTTAAATGATTTCATATCAGATTGTTCAAATCTATGTTGTTCAAGAGCTGATGATAGTTTACAGTCAGGAAGTTACTGCACAGAATCAAGGTGAATATCGATACGCGCTCATACTGCCACCTAGTGGATATTTGCTTCAACTACACATCAAATAAATCATCTGGCCAATAAAAGATTCAGATTTAGGAGGTTGGAACGTGTTTAAATTCAATTAAATTTCAATTAAAAAAATATTTTTTTCAAATATAGTCAAGTTTTTGCATCTTTAGGGATTTTTTTTAACTTCTGACTTTTTAAGGAGTTCTGTTTGTTTTTAGGGCTTAAGGATTCTCTTCACTGAAGGGTCCCGTCTTGTGTTTCGGATGAGTGGGAGCGGCGGAGGAATGGGCGCCACCATACGGATTTACGCCGAGAGCTTTGAGAGAGATCCCGAGAGACACAGCAGAGAGACCCAGGTGTGGCACGAGACGTGTGCTTCTGGATTTTCTGTGCAAGTTTTCTATTTTGAACTTCAAATGAGAAGAATATGTGTATCGTTTGAGGATGATTTTCTCAGTGCTTCACATGCACGCACACGCACACACACACACACACACACACACACACACACACACACACACACACACACACACACACACACACACACACACACACACACACACAACTTCAGTCTACACTGGAAATGCTGACTGACCTGCAGACTTTGGAAAGTTTGGAGACTTTTGTAATCATAATTATTGGGAAACCATCAAAGGTTGTAAAGCTGAAGTCAGAATGTCCATATTTGCCTCATTTAGGTCTTCTATCATGTTAACAGACATTAGGCATCTAATCATTCAGCCACTTTGACTATATCAGGGAGGAAACTCATGGTTATGCCTCATTCTTATCCAGACAGACAAAACAAACTCCATAAATAACACTCCCCAATAGTAAAGATGTTTGATTCAGAGTCATTCCTGGTTTTGCTTTGTGCCTAAATGTTTCTTATGTTTTAAAGTGCAGCGTTGCATCCCATGAACGTGTGCAACAACGGCTAAAATTCACATGGTAGCATGGCCACACTCAGTGTGTGTCATTTTAATGCATGCCTTTACTCTACACACACATGCAGTAGTTATATTCTGTTTCTTCTCTTGATTGTTTATTATTTAGGTTTTAATTTAGGTCTTGATTAAAATTTATCTCATTTAAACTCTTCAATGGTTTAGTTCAGCACTTTTTGATGAATTAGCCAAATTCTTTGCATTTCTGTTGTCTTTTATTTAGACTTTTGAATGTTTCCCTTTTCATTATGATTGAGACATTCTAAAAGACTACATTAATCTAGCTTGTTATAGATAAGAGTTGCGCACAAACAAACATTTTTATTTATTTATTTTATTCTATTCTATAATTTTCTGTAAAACCTGCATTGTGTTTTTCTCAGGTCCAAAGATTACACAGTGCCCATTTACCACAGAAATAAGCTTAACAGAATTAAAAATGAAACTTTATTCAGTTTTCACACAAATCCCAAGTACAAAACTGTTCATGCAAACATGCAACAATACCCTATTTAAAGGAAATTGAACTTATTGGTCAACCTGCTTAATGGCAGCTGCAGGCAGCTCTTTGAACAACAACAGTTTGGAGAAACAGGTGGACTCTGGTTGTATAACTAAAGTTACAGCCAGTTACTAAGAGTATTAAAAATGCTTCAATCTAATATATATATATATATATATATATATATATATATATATATATATATATATATATATATATATATATATGTATAACATATCGGTTTATGCTACTTTCTTTAATCTTTTACATTTCATTGCTTTTTCTGTAGAATTATATTAAACTCCAGACAGAAAAAGAAACTACCGGTAGTTGGACGTTTGGGTTTCATCTGCATATTTAAATTCTTTGTAAACGACCTTGTTGTGTGGATTCTGGAGTTAACACCTCTCTCTCTCCCCTCCCTCTCTGCAGGTGGTGCTGGGTCCTCTCATCGCCATCGCTCTGAAGATCTCAAACATTCATGAAAGGACAGGGCGTCATGGTCCAAATGTCATAACATGAGCCAGCGGGGACACACACGCACACACGCACGCACGCACGCACACACACACACACACACACACACACACACACACACACACACACACACACACACACACACACAAATCCACAGCAACCTATTTACACTGATAAATTACCTTCAAATTACTCCCTGTGCTTACTTGCTATGCCAGCAGTGTTAACCTGGTTTTTATTTGTTTATGTACACACACACACACACACACACACACTCCACACATACTTACACAAACACACACACACACGTACACACACACCCACACATGTTCACTCCACACATACTTACACAAACATACACACACACACTCCAGTTCTATGAATGTCAAAAGAACTTTAATCATATGGCCGCTAAAGCCTTTCCAAGCTGGAGGTTGGATCTAGGATTTGTTTTCCTCACTGGCAGAAATATTTTGTTCCAGCAGGGAGAGCGGAGCCTATTGTTTTAGATAAAAGTTACTTCTAGACTTCACTTCATGCATTCAGCTTATTTGCCCGTGCACTTGAGTGCAAGGACAATTTGTGAAACAACACCTCTTTGCTGTTATATTTGTCTAAAAGTTTGCAATTCTTTTGAGATAAATGGGAATAAAAGTTCTTTGTTGTACAATTTAAGTGAACTTGTTCCAACGACATAGTTTATTCTCTGAAAATTTCATGTGATCATCAACTTCAAAAACAAGTCCGTTGTCTATTATTAATACTATTATTGAATTAATTTGCTTTTTTTCTGCTCTTCCTGAAAAACAAATGATCATCATTTTAAAAAAGATCAGATTAAGAACAGTGAACCGTTTTGGCAGCGTGACTTGTATCTGCTCTGTTTGATTATTTTCTAGGGATGTAAGAAAATATCGATATGGCAATATATCGTGATATTTTTTCCAGCAATATTATATCGATATTCGAAAGCCATGCATCGGAAATATCGATATGGCAATATACCGTGATTTTTTTCCTGCGATTATTACATCGATATTCAAAAGCCGTGTATCTAATTCTTGAAAGAATTTACATGCAAACTTTTGTGTATTTTATTTTCGTTTTGTGCAATTCAATCGCCACCCGCTAGTTGGCAGCAGTGTGCAACGGGTTTTGTTTCCACCATTGAAATGTAAATCCCTCCATCATGGTTCAGATACCTCATGTTAAACATGTTACGTATCAGTTTGGACTGTTTATTGAACATTCTTACAATAAATTCAGTCAAAAAAAATTGCTTGTAACATCTGACTGAATGTATCACAATATACCGTGACGTATCGTATCGTCTCCCCTGTATCGTGAAATGTATCGTATCGCCAGAATTTCAAAAATACACATCCCTGGTATTTTCCATTTCAGGTACATTATTTGACAAAAACCTTTAAGTTTAAATTGTCTAAAGGTTAATTTTTTATTTTGACAGTTTGACTTGTAGCTGGTTTTCACAGATGGTTGTTGCCTTTCAAAATCTGCTACTGCTTCTTTGTGTGTTTTGATATAACTTCTGTTGCTGTAAGACTGTCTGAATGACATTTCTATTATAATCTGAGGAAATTATTGGTTTAATCACCAACAGGTGTGTCACTAAAAGCAGCAAAAAGCTGATTTTGAGAAAAGCTCTAACGGCGAGAAAAAGAATCAAATAAACTTCTACGTTCTCATGTGGAGCTGGAGTGTGCTACATTTTAAATGTTTTTAAAAAATATTTGCATTCGTTGACCAGAACCTCAGTAAATCTATTGATGTGCAGTTTTTTTTAAACAAAAATGCATTTTAAATGATACATGTATGCTTAGATCTTGTTATTTTTTAACACCCATAAATTCTTTAAAATGCTTCAGCAGCAAAAAGTGAAGCTGCTTTTTTGACTTTGCATTGAAGGAACAGAATAATTAATTCAACCCGGCATTAAAGAACAATTCTTTTTTTATGTTCTTATATTTGTTTTCTTTTATTATCATTCAAACAAACATGGTTGTGTGCATTTTTGTCTTTTTTCATCCCATTTCAAACTGAACTGAAATAAACACATGAAATAAAAGGTTGATTGTCCGCGTGGTGACTCTTGTTTTTGAGCTGATTAAAGGAAAACACACTGAAGTTGATGTTTAGCGAAAGGAAATTACAAGCTTTAATCTTTATATTGGCTGAACGAGACACAGAGAACAGGAACTCAAACAATCTGATTGCCGTCATTCCGAGTGAAGGATGTGTTCACTCAGACGGACTTTACCTGCCAGGTTACTGCGACCTGCTTTTTTTAATGCCAAGAACTAAAGCTGATCTTCGTCACCCGGGAACATTTTGCTATAAAGAATAACTATAAAGCTGCAAATCCCCTGAATTGACTCTGTGGTGAAATTTGCCATCAGGTGAGCATTGCCCTCCACTCCTGCCCTGATTTGAACCCAAATAAAACTGTCTGCAGCTCCCGAGCTACACTTGAATAGATAAAGTCTGAGGTCTTTAGCGATATAAAAAAAATCAGATGAGATCTACTGGAAACTTCCTGAAGTTTCTGTAGAAACTCTGGTGATCATGGGGGATGACAAAGCAAGCAGCTAGCACAGAATCAGTAGAGCCTGGACCATGTGAATATATTGTCGTAGTACTATGTAAGCCAGCAAAACCTTTTCTGAATTTATAATTATCTCCTCCAATGGTCAGCGATTTCTGTCTGAATGCTAATCGAGCCATTAATCATTTCTTTTTCTGCAGGAACTACACTTCACATCAATGCCTCTGCCTTAAAGTGACGTTTTTACCGTTCATCTCTGGAAATATCTGTTGAAATGTTGTAAATGAATTTAAAGATGCCCAGTTGATGAAAAACATTGGCAGTTTCATGATATGCTTATTTATTTATTTTATTTATTTATTAACTTATATTTTAGGATAAAACCACTTGAGATGACTCCTCCTACCTCAAGTGGAGGAGTTTAAGTATCTCGGGGTCTTGTTCACGAGTGAGGGTAGGAGGCGTGGTTTTGGTGGTGCTTGGTAAATCTGTCATGTTTTCATTCGACCATAAACCAAAACATCCGAAGTATAAAACTATACCCACGTCATCTTTAACGCCAGTTCAAAGCGTTCTAGATGAGTTGTCGGAGTGGCCAATCCGTAACTTTCCTCTTCAGCCAGGGGCGTGTCCAGGGAGTGGCCTGGGGTAGCACATGCCACCCTTGGAATCTGATTGGCCACCCCAGGTGCCACCACACTAATTTACTTTTAAATAGGCTTTTCATTGTCCACAAAAGGCTTGGGGGTAAAACAAAAAAGCATAACCATTGGTGCCACCCATGCACGAAGTTGTGCCTCACCTGGGCCACCTCATTTGAAAAGATCTGGACACGCCACTGTCTTCAGCCAAAAGAACCAACGACAAGCTGGATAAAATCTGTTGCTGTTCCAACAGCTGCAACGGTTCCTTTCAGAATAAAAGTTGAACCATCACGACCCAGTTTGGGTCTCGCTAGATGCCAACAAAACCATCGTGACCCGGAAGTATCTCAAAGACTGGTCTGGTCGGCAAACGCAGCTTTTCCTACCGGCTTCGGTTCCAGAGAGGGTCCAGCTGGACCTCGACATTCCTGATCTAACAGGGACTTCCAAAAGGGTACGTAGGCCGACGGGATGGCGTTGAATGTGTTTATGAATCTCCTAACCAAAGCTTAGCGTGAAGACTTCACCTTCGTTTCCCACCAGAACTAATCGTTTCTTCGGATTTGCTGGTTCTGAGCGACATTCCACATCACACCATTCTCCGTCTCATTCACCTTAGTTACACCATACATTAAGTGTTAAAGTTAGTCTAGTTTTAATTTGTTTAATAATAAATCTTTAAACTTTTAAAACCTGACTCTCTCTTCTGTTGTCTCTGAATTAATATGAGGTTGTTATCTAATCCCTGCAATAAAAAGTTCCAATCTTCTGGTTTAAATTACCCACAGATCCATAAGATTGATTTCATATTCGCTATGGAATCTTCAGTCTTATGGCTCATTAAATAACATGTAAAATTAAACCATTACATCCTGAATGGTTAAAAAAAATGTAATTTTTTCTGATTCCTCAAACTATTTATGAATAACACATTTTAATGGGATTGTATTCACCAAATGTATTCATTAATAAAGAACATGTTTTATTCCAGTTTTGTACATATTTCCAAAACTAGAATACCAATTTTGTAGTTTTATTTATTAATTTTCTTGCCATAGAGACAGTTTTTACCCACCTTTTCATCCTATTTATATCCATATGATTAATATTAAAGTTAAAAGGAAATATTAACAGACTTTTTACTTCACATTTGCACTGAACTGAAAACAAAAATGCATTGATGGGTAATTGATTTCAACAAAAAGTGTACATTTATATATACGGTATGCCCTAATTAATTAGTGGTCACACACGCACCTTCTTTTAGATTTCATTATTGAATGATAATAATAGACAGACTGAGACAGGGGGCCATTAGATGTGAGGGAAGGAGTGAAGGGCCGGAAATTAATCAGATGGACTCTGATGAGGACGCTGTCATCAATCAGGCTCCTGCTGCACACTCAGCAGTGCACAGCCTCACTTGTTGTATGGTCACTGACTCAATAGATATCAGTAATGAGACCCAAGTTCGGACCATCGTGTTACTGATGCAGTTTATGCACATAAATTACAAAGTGTGCAGAATTGGAGCGTTGCTGCAGCAGTAGCATCAGAACTCCACTTGGGGCAATGTTACATTATGTTATTCTCACCGAAGTTACTGAGCCGAGCAGGATGAGTCGGAAACCATCTGATTCATTTAGCCACATATGTAACTTAATATGACCTAGTCTGAGGCACGCAGAGGATCCACGTGCCTGGTTTTAATAACCTGCATGATGTTCCATCACACTGCAGGTTTCTCCTCATTTTATCAGAGATTACAAATCTTCTGAACTCTGAGACAAAATCTTTATACTGTAAAACCTTCCATCATAGATGGCAGCACGTTATCCAATCAGATCCAGGTGAGGAAGTTATAGTGGATATTATACTATCAAAAAAATTAAAAAGGAGGTGTATGGAAGAAGAGAAAGAAGGGTAGAAACTTTCTGAGTGGCCTCACTTTTCATGTGCTGTTGCATGTGCTCCTGTCTGTAGTGTTTCACTGTTCTTCCTCACAGTAACTGTGCAAACCCACACAGTTGTCAGGGACGAGCCGAGGGAGGCTCGGATCAATGAGGGGATCGATAGGGTCCCCGGGAGTCCTAATAGCCCTGTTACTGCTCCCTGACTCCCTTCCTGACTGCCTGATATAGCACCGCACAAGGGGGCGTGATTTGTGTGTGTGTGTGTGTGAGTGAGTGAGTGAGTGAGTGAGTGAGTGAGTGAGTGAGTGAGTGAGTGAGTGAGTGAGTGAGTGAGTGAGTGAGTGAGAGAGAGAGAGAGAGAGAGAGAGAGAGAGAGAGAGAGAGAGAGAGAGAGAGAGAGAGAGAGAGAGAGAGAGAGAGAGAGAGAGAGAGAGAGAGAAACATCCAAATGTCCAAATGATGCCTGCTGAGTCTGTACTTACACTTCGGCAATGATGCAGCACAACAAGTTCTGTAATTGTGCACAATAATGGAGCTGATGGTGTGTGTGTGTGTGTGTGTGTGTGTGTGTGTGTGTGTGTGTGTGTGTGTGTGTGTGTGTGTGTGTGTGTGTGTGTGTGTGTGTGTGTGTGTTGCATGACCTCAAACAGACTTTTAAGTAAACATGATAAAAATAGAGCAACTCAAAACTATAGAAGGAACAGAACACCTACAGAATGACGCGCTGGTGGAATAATTTGGTTATTAGCCACTTATGCTACCTCACTTCCATCTAAGGGGCATCACAAAGTGCTGCTTGTGCAAAATAAGGAAAAACAACAGTTGTTTGTAACTTTTAAACAAAATGCTGAATTTTGCATCTCATCGCAAACGTGCTAAACTGTGCAAAGTCCATGACCCTTAATAACCTCACTAATGCTAAAGAGAATGCAGAATTGTGTGTTGCGTTACAAAGGTGTCTTTTATTAAGGCTAGAGAAATGTGATTTTATTCTAGAATTTTGCAAAAAAAGATGATGTTAAAAGGTTTTTTTTATGCTAAAGTAAATCTGCTAATAGCAGTCAGCAAGTATATGATGAGACAGCAAGTGTTTACATGGCAGCTAATAAGTGTAAGGTGTCCCAGTCTCATGTTGATTGTTTTTTTCTGGTTCTGTTACTCTTTTATGTGGCTCGTATAAAAATGTCAAATTCTACATGTCTGCAGAGAAAATAAGGCAAAAGAAGGCCTTCCTTTTATTTAAAATAATGTTTTTCACATTTTTTGTTAGTTATTGGCCTAAGAGTGAGAATCTTACTAAAGTTTCTCAGTATTGCAAAAACAAAATTTAATTTTTATTACAAATGATTTCCCAAAACATCACACAGGAAAACATCCATCCATCCATCCATCCATCCAATTTCTTCTACTTATCCGGAGCCGGGTTACGGGGGCAGTAGCCTAAGTCGAGAGGCCCAGACTTCCCTCTCCCCAGCCACTTGGGCCAGCTCCTCCGGGGGAATCCCAAGGCGTTTAGGCCTCCTCCCAGTTGGACGTGCCCAGAAAACCTCACCAGAGAGGCGTCCAGGAGGTATCCTGACCAGGTGCCCGAGCCATCTCAACTGGATCCTCTCAATGCAAACAAACAAACAAACAAACAAAAAGTCCGAAAGAAATTTGGGAATTTAAATTAAAAAAGGTCACTAATGCCAACTTTCAACAAAGCTCTGAGCAGATTAAACCACAACGGGCGCAAACGACAGCTTTGAGACTCTGGTCATGCAGATTGTTCTTGTGGGGTTTTGTGTTGTCAAATGATAGGAAATAAGATTTAAAAAATTAAATATTTTGAAAATAACAGTAGAAGTAGTCTAGTCCTGACGATGAATCTGAACAAAACAAAGGAGATGATTTTAGACTTCAGAAGAAACAGGGTGGAGTCAAACACTGTTTCCATCATGGGAGAAGAAGTGGAGGTGGTTGAGGAATACAAATACC